TTCGGAATAAGGATAGACAGATCGAGGAGTCGACGGAGAAGAACGATGAAGAGTTGCGATTCTACAAGCAGAAAGTCAAGCATCTGCAGTACGAGCATCAGAACAACTTGACGGAATGCAAGGCCGAGGCGATGGTCTCCATCAAATTGGCGAGAGACGATCACGCCGAGCAGGAGCGAGAGTTGCTCAGGGATAAGAGGGAGTTGAAGGCCAAAGGGAGGGAACAGGAGATGGCCAATCAGGACCACATCAAGAGTCTTAAAATGGTAAAATTTATAACGAAAAACGTTAAATAAAATATATTCATTAATTAATTGCATATATTTTTGTAGCATTTCAGTGAAGAGTTGTACAAAGCTAGAGAAGAGTTCGAGACGCAAACTAAGGAAATCGAGTTGAAATACGAGAAGAAATTTGGTCAGCTCAGAGATGAATTGGGAATACAACACAAGTGAGATTTTTTTTTCTTTTAAATTATTTATCAAAATTGTATAGAAAGTTTTCTATAATTGAGAGTTTATGATTAAACACTGTTAAAACTGTGAATATTTTTGTTGTTGAGGATGGAAATGACGGAGGTCGAGGAGCGTAAGAATACGCAAATCTCTGATCTGATTCGGAACCACGAGAAGGCTTTCAACGAGATGAAGAACTACTACAACGACATCACGCTGAACAACTTAGCTCTGATTAGTAGCTTGAAGGTAATTGGTTAATTAAACAATGGCTTAATTAGCATCGATTAATATGTGTGTTTTGTTGTAATTCATTTTCATTTTTCAATTGTAAGGATCAAATGGAAGTTCTGAAAAAACAGAACGAAAGGATGGGAAAACAAGTCGCGGATTTGACGGCCGATAACCGGAGGATGGCGGAGCCCTTGAAGCAGGCTTTGGTGGATGTGACGGAGTACAAGAGGCAATTGCAGAACTACGAAAAGGATAAATTGTCTTTAGCTGTAATTGCGTTATTGGTTTGGGGTGGATGGGGGAATTTATAGGTGATTTATTTTGCAGCACACCAAGAGCAAATTGCAGGCCACGAAGAAGGAATTGGACGATCTCAGATGGGTGAGCGAAGCCATGGAGCTGCGTTTCGAAAAAGTGCGTGAAAGACTTCAATCTTTATTAATTTATTTAAGCAGGGTTGTTGTAATTTGTTGGTAGCTTCAAGCGGAGAAGGATGAACTCGAGGATAAGTTCATGAAAGCCGTGCTGGACGTACAGAGGAAGACCGCCACCAAGAACGGACTTCTTGTGCAACGCATCGGGGTGTTGGTGGGAAACGCGGAGCGGAGGGAATGCATCATCGCTGAATTAGGAGATCATGAACACAGGACGATGATTAAAGCAAGAGTGGATGTGCGTATCCAAAAGCAGTGAAAGAGAAATTATATTAATCATTTCTTCTTCAACCAGAAAATGCTTGATAAGAAGAACAAGAAAATCAGCGATTTGCAGTACGAATTCGCCAAAATCGCCAAAGCTTACGACGATCTGATCCTGTCGTACGAGGCCAAGCTGAAGCAGTACGGAATTCCCGTGACTGAATTGGGCTTCACCCCGATGACCATCATCCCATCCGGTCAAGGGGCTCCGGCCAAAGGACCAGCAGGAATCATCACCAAGAATAAGTAGAAGGTTGCGTAACTGTCGCACTGTTGAATAACAGCAACAACAACGGAGGACACAAGATGAGGAGAAAAAAAAACTCATCGGCGAGAATAATGTCGATTACGTAACGCTCAATAAATAATGTTCTTCTTTGGAGCGACAAAGGCCGTGTTTTCGATTACATTCTTTTTTATTTTATACATTTTGTTTAAGTTTGTTGTTCCGCACAAATCTATTATACAGGTGGCCAAAAACGATGTGCAGTTAATCATTGCTCCTCCAACCACGAATCGAGTGGGCGCGACAAGACAAACAGATGACTATTGTATTAAGCGTAAATTTGTCACTGTACCATTTAGTTTAGCCAACTATAAAATTTCCATATTTCTATATAGAAATTAATCTACATTAATTTTACATTACAATACATTTTACATACTTACACTAGAAAGTTTAATTTGAAACGTTTCATTGGATTCTTTAGTATATTACAACAGTACTATTTCCATTATTATGATATAATAAATGGCATAAACAATAATTTTAAATTATGTAAAACGGGTTTATTTTTCGGAATGACTCAAATCTCACGCAAATTGCAGCGAAGTTATTATTGGAATTCTATTTAAATTGGAAACCGGTAGATTGAAGACAAAAAAATACAGTACATGTTTCAAATAAATCGAGAAATTAATTCCTAGTTGTTTTAATTATAAACTGGGCGGAAAAACCTTAACAATGATTAATGTATTTCTTTTATATTTTACTTAATTATAAATTGGCAATTAACTAACAGTTACATAATAAATATTTAACGAAGAGATTAATAATACAGAAAGTTAATTATTTTGTATTTCACTTAATTTATTTCATAAATTATTGCTGTAATAATTTCTTTAAGTATACAAAATACATAGAGATTTAATTAATGTGTGCATTAATTTTGAACTAGGTTTGTACATTTTATGATATTGACAAACAGAGGCACGAGTATCTTTATTTTGTTATCTGTAGCCTCACCTTAATGTATTCATTATCTACATTTAGTATTTATAAAATCAATTAAAACTACTGCAATTTCAAATAGTTCTTGCTTGTAAAAAAAAACTTACATTTACTGATTAAATATCTTTGATTTTGATTATACACAAATTCTATAAGTTTTCAGAAATGAAATCTAAACATTGTGAGTATTTTAATCTTTGCTTTACATTTTTAGCTCTAATTTACTAAATGTCTGTAAGCTATTGATACTATTATAAAAGCATTATCGAAAGAGTGAATCAGGGATGTCGTGCAATAAAGTCTATCTAGTAGCTTTGCGATTACGTGAACAGGCAGATATCGGTCGTAAAGGGATTAAAGAGACGTAGCCTTCTAGATTAAATATAAACGATCTTTTGATTCCTCCGTGGGTTGTGACAGCTACTTTGCACGAACATAAATTATAGATGTCTTAGGCTTTGTACAAATTTGTATAGATTATGAAGGGTCTACAGGTATTTAGTGGCCGGAACTGATGTCAGGTAGATTGTCAGACTTCCGGTACAGGTTGTATCATCTAATCTGTACAGAAGTTATCGTTTTTTGCTGATTTGCCGAGACCGCTTTGGTATTCCGATCAAAAATCGTCGTCGCGACACACAACTACTAATGATTTCTGCGTATGCAGAATGTAAATGAGAAAATCAAAGCCACACGAAGGTTCTCGGGCACATATTAGGCCTTCATTACGTAATTCCAGCAATTTATTATTAGGTCGAGCAGCAGCGATATCGCATTATGGAATCAATTGGATAATAATACCATTTGTTCTTCGTCAAAGCGAAGATTAGATTCTGCAACGATCCAGGAATTTTCGACCCACCCGAACCAGGACTTCCTGTATTACTGCTGCTGCTGCTGTCACCTCCTCCTCCTCCTCCTTCAACTCCTCCAGATTACTCGTGCATTTAGATATGATATCATTGTTGTTAATGGATCCGAAAAGGGGATCGATGTTGTCGATGATGAGGATTCGCATCCATCCCTCCCCACCCAGCGCCGCCGATCGCGCTCTTTTTCTGTTCCCACCAGAACTCTTTACCATCATCAGGTGAAGCGCACAACGCACCACAGTCTTCATCCAGTTTTCAAGTGAAAAACATCCGAAATCCCTTGGCAAACCACCAAGTCTTAACAACAGAACGCAAAAACACAGGTAAACATCGTATAAACTATATTACAAAATCGACGTTCCATCATTCGCACTTGTAATCTGTTAATCGCGCAAAACAGGATTAAGTTTTATTGGTACGATTTTTCACTTCATTTTCCCCGACTCTGTTTGCAATTCCAATTACGATCATTTAGCGTCACTCTATTTGCTATTCCCATTTTTTTTAATTGTACGTAATTGTTTGCCATCGTTCTGCAATCAAAAGGTAAACAAAACAAGAGAACCCGTGTCTCCGTGGAAGCACTCACCGTGTTTCGTCGTACCCCCTTTTTTTCTATATATATATTTTTTTTTTTTATCTATCCATATCGAAAACCATATGGTTCTTGCAGCCAGTTATTATTACCAATAATACTGCCATGATTGATTTATCATTGATTGTGATTACAACTGATAACGCGCGAAAGATCAACACGTAACCCAGTTATTTTCCCTGTTTACATCTAAAATTATTAATTATTTTTTTTTAACGAAAATAAAAAATCATTTACATTTGCCACGCTCGGTCAGCCAAGAGGAACGCATTTCCTCCTCCAAGATTATTACAATTATTTCTCTTAACCACATATTTTTTTTTTCCAAGACCATCAATTAAATGTAGCGACTTTAGATGAGGAAACAAAGAAAACGCTCACGAAGTTCAATGCTAAATCAATTTGTTTCATAATAACATATTAATAATAATAACGAATGCAATTCAATTTGCAGACCTTTCGTATTGCATTTGCATTTGCGGTTTTCCAAAGAAAAATCAAAATTGCGTTTTATCATTTGTTCATACATAAATACATTCATAATTTACTTACATTCTCTTATTAATAGATAATTAAATAATTTATTGATTCTCATTTTAATATTGTAAATAAATACATTAAATATTTCAAAACTTTGTCGATTCATTAAATATCAATTACAAGTTTACATTGTTAAAACAATATTCAAATTGCAAGTGTGAATAACATATTCATTAAAATATTCCACCGTAACTTTTCCTCTTTTCATTATTAAAAAACGATTAAGTTAAGTAATAGAATTTTTTTACTGAAAACATTAAGAATAAGTAATATTAATCCTACGACGAAATGTTATAATTGTTTTGTTGCCTATTAGAAACGATTCCCTTGATGCATGTTCTCTATAGAGTCTAAAATTTGAATAACGTGCAGGACAATAAGACAAATCGTCCAGCAAACATGCATGTTTCGACCTCTAAAAACTCGTTTAGAATCAATTCGTTTTCGACTCAAAATCCATTATTGTTTTATAACATAACACATATTTCGTAACAATTTGATATTATGTATAAAAATAGATTTTACAACAATTCGAAAAATTAATTTAAATTTTTCTATTTAAAAATAATCTTTGTAACAAAATCTATTGAAAATATTAATTTGAATTTGTTTTATTAAATTATTGCAATGGTTTTAGGAAGTAGCGGTAATCTTAAGACTGTTGCGTCAGAACCGCAGATAGTGGTTTACAAACAACAATAAATGCATCGTTAACATTAACAGAATTGCAGACAACAAAAATAAAAAAAGATGTGCAATTTTTCACTAGGATCGTTTGAAAAAAAAACCAGATTTTTGCTTTGCTTAGCCTCGCTACAAATTATATCATCATCGTCTGTATCTGATTTGTTTTTCGTATGTAGGTTTAAAACAGACCGAAATACAAATAAATAAAAAAAGTAATGAAAAGAAAAGGAAACAAGGTAAGGTTGAATTAAACATATGGCAATAACATATTTGTAATTCAATTAGCTTCGCAAAACGCAAATGGAATTGAGAAGAAAACTTTTGCAACATGCCGAATGCCGATCTGCAAACTTAGTCTTCGCGATTTAATTAAAACAAATTTAATTGACCATCTTAATTACTCAATCACAGCATCAACCAAAAAGAAAAACGTTCATTTATGGATAATTCAATGTTTATTAATATACGTTTTTCACTGCAGTGATTATGATGCGTGGAAAAGTGAAAATGAAACTGTTATTATGTTTGCTTGATAAGTATCACTCGTGTGACATCACCGCAACTGCAGTGAAGGAAATAATAATATTATTAATAATAATAGGTGGGCTAATATTTATATGCATTTCTATTGTCTGCGGAAACATGCGAGAGTTATTATTTTCTCCTCGATAAACAGCTTCAAACTGCGTGACAAAATAATACTAGGTTTTTCATATTTAGAAATAATTTTCCGTACTCGCATTGTTCTAAATGCGAACTCTAAACTTGAAAATTTGGCTCAAAATTCACTTGTCTTTGCATTGCCACGCATTCCTTGACAACGAAGCATGCTAATTATAACTATGAATACTCCATTTAAAGCTAAATTGAGTCTTTATGCAAAATTGTAGTTATTACCGTTTTCCTGTAATAAACTATCAAAATTTTAATGTTTTTTTTTGTTAAGGCTGAAAAATGTATTACACTTATAATTCGCTCGTCGCTTGTATTTGGTATTTCGTACAAAGTTGGCTGTGGTCAGGCGATTTTTCTCCTAAACAACAGTTACGACCCTTGCTGCACCCCTTTCGCACCATAATTTTCCGGTCACGCCACGGAAATAGATGGTCGTATAGTATTTGTTCCGGTAATGAATGAATCAATTAATTAATTAATTAATTAATCTAATTTTTCTTTATATATTTCATTTGAACAACCCTAAAACTGCAAGGACTTTTTTTTTCTGTAACGTGTATGCACTCATTTAATTATCTGTGTCAGCCGTAATATGTTTGCGTCAAACTTTTGTTTTTATCTAAGGAATCCGTTGTTGTTATCAAAGTGCAAATGGTGATACGAAGTACATCCATTTTCCGCACAAAATATTTTCAGTTTCTTTAAACTTTATAAAATTTGTTAATTGAAAAGTGCTAAAATTCTAATGTTTTCTTTAAATAAATTAAAGATTTGCTACATTTATGATATTTCCATGACAATTAATGAAATAGTAGACTTAAATGTTTTGTTTCCATGGTAATTTGTAAATAAAAACATTAATTAGAATTGATTAATTGTAATTAATAGATTGCGAATGTAATACGTAAAGATGTTAAAAGTTGTTAATTCAAAGATTGTATAGTTTGTGATGAAAGTTTTCAAGAGAGACGACCAAAAAAGGAAAAGATTTTGTCGTCGCGCTTCACTTATTCTTCACAGTTCATTTGTTTCCACGGTAGTGGAAAATAACAGGTGACTAGATGTATTAGTCAGTAAAGTATCCAGAAATGATTAGCAAAAAAACGCGAAGGTGATCGCAATTATATTGCGACGCGGAATAATTGCAAACGAGGGAAATGCGATGATGATAGTAATTAGTTTTTCTTATTTTTTTTTGGTAAATCTCAAAATGTTCATTTCTTGCAGATCATGGGTAAATTACGGGAGACGTTGGGCTTGAGCGAACTGACGGAGAGGCACGGAAACATCGTCTGGAAATCTCTGCTCTCCGAATTCCTGGGAAATTGCATCTTGAACTTCTTCGGATGCGCCGCCATAGTGAAACTCGGCGATTATCCGCATAAGAACGAGCTGATTTCCTTGGCTTTTGGATTCACAGTCTTCATAATAGTCCACGTACGTTGAACAAGCTGCAAACAGGATTAACTTTGTAAAATTATTATTATTGTTGTTGTTGTTGTTTGCAGACTTTGGGACACGTGAGCGGCGCGCACGTGAATCCCGCGGTGACCGCAGGTATGCTGGTGACAGGCAACATCCCCGTCATCAGGGGAATCCTGTACGTAATCGCTCAATGTCTCGGCTCCATCACCGGTTCCGCACTCCTAAGGGCCATAACACCCGACAGTATAAGTTCTTTGCAATTCGGGCACTCGCATCTCAACCCAGCCCTGAAGAACGCCTTCCAAGGTATGGGCATCGAGCTCTTCCTCGGCTTCCTCCTCGTCCTCACAGTCTTCGGAGTCTGCGACGTCAACAGACCGGAGAGTAAACCGACCGGTGCTTTAGCAATCGGTATCGCCGTCGTCGTCGGTCATTTCGCATTCATGGATTACACAGGATCGAGCATGAATCCCGCAAGAACCTTCGGCTCAGCGGTCATCTCCGGAGTATGGGATAATCACTGGGTACTTAGAAAAAATACAAAGATTAATATAATTAATCTTGATTGATGTTTGCTTTACTAGATTTACTGGGTCGGACCTTGCATCGGGGGCATCTTGGCAGGTCTCCTTTACAAGCACGCCTTCGCCGCTCCTGCCACCGGAATCATGAAAGTCACGGAAAGATACATAGCCGTTGCGGCCGATGAAAAAGAGGTAAGCAAATCTGTAAAACTTAACTTTCGAAAACTTAAACTTTCGCACTATTCAATTAAAAGCCAACTAAAATTTGGAATATTCCATTGGAGGATTCCGTAAGTATTATTATTACGCTGCTCAAAGAATCGTAAAATTGTAATGTAATCATAAAATAATTGTTGTTTCTTTCTCTTTCTTTTCCAGTTGAAACGATTAGACGGAAAATCCAGAGAAGATGCTTGAATCAACATCTCATTAAGCACAACATTTCTTTTATATATATATATGTTTTTTTTTAATTCTTAAATTCTACTTTTTAAATCGCAATACTGCCATCACCTCGATCAAGTTTACTACTTCCACTTAAGAACAGCCCTCAGTTTAGCATCAAGTTTTAGCCTGGCTTTTACCACCAAATTGCATCGAACTCTTGTCTTGTTTTATTTGTTGTTTTTTTTTTTGTGTGTAATGTACATATTTAAGGATCATGGCGATTATACGTTAAGATTTTTTTTATTTATTTTAAATCTATGTATCTCGTACAAACGTTATTCGCATGTTTCAATAACGTTCTTGTACGAATGACCAAGCAAATAATAAAAACATATTTTTTTTTAATATAAAAATTTGCTCTCATTTCGTAGTATTAAGAGTTCTTGAAAATATTATAATATTTAATAAATCACTTTCTAATTGTTTGTGTTACTTATAAAACATATATACAATACTGATACTGAAAACCCTTGCAAGTTGAGGTATTAAAATATAAATGATTGTGTGTATTTCGCAGAAAGTGTTGCAAAGATGACGCGAATCGTTTGTCTGTTAAGTGTGTTCATGATCGCAATTTCTGCGGTTTCGGCCACGAAAATTAGTGCACGAATTGAATAACAAAAACTATTACCTAGAATCGTTATTGAAGGTAACACACAATTCGTTAATCTCTAAAATTCTTGAATAACACTTTTCATTAATGCCAATTTCTTTAACGCCAGAAGAACGGAATGCTACTGGTTACGATCGATTCCATCGAAGAGTACAACTATCTCTACAAGCTCGTCACCGACAAACGTTAGTTTCAAATTGTTTTTGCATGATGAATCGATTGAACATTTTGTCCCATTTTCTAGGATCTGGATTTCGGGTACTGACATTGCCAAAGAAGGAAAATTCTATTATTTTCTGGCTCTCTAACGGATTTCCTGTATCGATTAGTAAATGGTTGTCCGGACAACCGGATAATTACAAAGAAAACGAACATGGATCTGTCGGATTAAAAGACAGCTATTGCCTTTACGAACAATCTTTCATCTGCCAAAGCTATAAATTGAGAACATGATAACATATTAAAGTTTATATATAGTAAATGTAATTTGTATTAATAATAAAAACAATTTTCTAAACAATACTTTTGTAATAATGGACTTTTCATTTAACAAGTTTGAAATACTTTCATTCCTTAGAAATTAATTATATAAACTTTAATAAGTACATTATTTTCAGCTCAGAATATATCAATAGTAAAGCATTATATCATAATAAGAAAGTGTTAATAAATATGTTTTGAATAATAATAATAGACTAGAAAGTATCACAGCCGTAACTACGGTTGCCTTTATGATGTAAGCACCGCCTGGTGGTAAAATTCAAATAATAACAGTCGTTCTGAAAGAGCGGTTACAAAATGGAAGGTGTAGAGAAAATTGGTAAGTTTGTGCCTGAATTAAATGAAAAATTTACAGAATACAGCGCTAATTTCAGACGCAGGATGCGTTTATCCAAAAGAGTACATGAAGAAGGTGGAAACTGAGATAAATCTGTTTCGCGAGTTCAACAATCAACTCCGTACTTTGAAGAAACAGTTGAAACAGTAAGATTAATGGGAAAAAATTGAATACATTAATGAATATAACGTGTTGGATGTGTAGACAAACACTGAAGGTTGATGAGAGGGAGGCTGATATGGAGCTGTTAAGTTCTGAGCAAAGGGAGTTCCTGCAGCAGAGACCAGATCGAGATGTGTTCATCAATGTGACAAAGAAGTTTATTAGAACGTGTGAATGTTTGGCAAAATTAATGGAGATCAGTGATAAGAAGTTCAAAGTGATAGAGAAACAAATGCAAGACTATTGATTATGTTATATTTATAAATTATTAAAATTAAAGCTTTTTTCTTATACAAAACCCTTCTTCTCCTTTTTCTTCTCTAATGTAGCTATAAACTCTTTTCTGCTGGTGCTGGACCGAATGTCAAGAATGATATTCATCTTCTGCACTATTTCCTCAGCAGTGGCATTGTCTGCTTCAAAGTCATAGTGCTTCATGCTAACATTACTTGGTAGACTGTTACTGCCAACAATCTCTTTGTTGCCTGGAACTGAGACATAATCTATTCGGAAGGTGGTCTTGCTGGACTTTGTATCTGTGATTATGCAGGATCCAATGCAATCCATGTGGTGGCTAACTGGTTTTTGCCTAGATAAAACAAATTTTGCATTTTTCTGATGGACAGGATCTATCTCCAATTTCTCCCCACTTATGCCCAAATGTATCTCCACCTTAGACCTCATTTTAGTTATGATGAATGCTCTATAAGATTGGTAAAGGGGAGCAATCATGGCAATCTCATGACCCTTCATCAGTTCCATATCAACTATCAATTGTTTGCTTTCATCAAGAGCTGCAGCTAAAATTAAAATCTTAAATGGATATCTAGTGAGCGTGTCAAAGATATTTACAGGCTTGTTCGGAGGAGCTTAAGGTCTCCTCGAGATTCCGCATGACGAGTTGCTCGGAATTCTCGAATGTCACTATTTTGTTGTTCTTGTGCTCGACGAGGCCTAAACATGTAAAACCGAACTTCGCTACGCACTCTTTGGCATCCAAACATGGAAAATCCCTGTCCACCTCGCCATCTTCTTCCGTGATGTACAGCCCATAACTTGAGACGGGCTGCAACGGGAAATCACCGTAAACTATGCTGGAACTACATGACATCATTTAACAGCTGAAATTATATTTCCCAAATCGTACCTGCACTTGTAACAAATCAGACCAATGAGCTCTTGTATTTTGGCTGTGGCCACACAAACGACAAGCATTGGATAGTTCTTTTGGTTTTCAGGAAGCATAGTCAGAAATATTTTGTACTTTCTGACAGGTACTCCAACTTGGGCACTTCCATCAAACTTTGAGTACTCCATAAAAGGGTTCTTTGGCATTCTAATGCAGTTCTGTATTTGTTCAGAGAGCAAGGACTTGAATGCTGGTTGTTCCTTTGGTATTTCCTGCTTGGCAAACATTTTCATCCTATCCTCATCACTCATCTTCTCAGCATTTGATTCCCACTTGATATTTTTGCTTCTTCCTGCTCTCTTACGCTTTTGATCCATCTTCTCCATCCAAGAGGACATGTTGGAGCCAAACTTCCTTACATTAAAATCTGAATCCAATTGTATATCATAAGATTCATGCTCAATCTCATCATCTTCCTCTTGGCTATCATCAGTATCCGGGTATTTATCCAAAGCATCCACAAGGGAATCTGGCAAATTCTCTCCAACCATCACCAGCTCACACATTCCTAAAGAAACGTTACGATTAAGTAATTTGACAAATGTAATAAATAAACAATAATATTTTGATACCTGTGTCATCTGTTGATATGAAGGAATTCCTGATGTGAGATAAAAGCCAGTACTTGTTATCGTACAGAGCCATCGTCGTTAACAGCGTTTCCTGTTCTTCAATGAACTCTATTTTTATCGAAATCTATTAATTATTGCTCGTCCACAGCCACTTTTGAACTTTTAATCAACTTCATAAACAACACAATAGACCACAACTAGTAGAAGACATGCTTTCAAGGTTCATCCATTTTTGACACATCCTCGATAACAGCAGAACCAAAACTGTTTCCCATACTAAGGTTTTCTTAACTAGTTACGATCAATACAAATCAATAAATTCCATTAAATAGTAATAAATTCAGTAGTATTTATCATTTTTATAAAGTGTTTAATTCAGTGGCAATTTTCTTCACTTCTTTGTTTTTTCATTAGTTTGAGAACAGCTGGTGCAGATCACAAATCCACTGGGCGACTGTAAATAAACAGAGCTGATAGTGGGCCTTTGAAATCATCGTAAAATTTGTCATAACTTTGAAATGTCTTTTCCTTGATTACTGTGAGCAAATGGAACTGTGATAAGAACAATAATGGATCGTGAGTATTTGCCTATATGCGTTTGTCTTTTGCACTCTATAATTATTCTACTTGTAGATATGATGATGTCATTCGGCTGGGACACAAAACTCAACAATTTCCTGTTCTATGGTTGGAACATCACCACTGCCTGGGTGCTGCTAGCAGCATGCACGTTTGTTGGAGCCCTGGCATTTGCATTCGAATGGATACGACTGATACAGGCCAGACACAGGCAGAAGGAGCTAGTAATGAGGTCTAAACAATTGAAAACCATATGTCCCATGATGGAGCAGAGCAGCCTTCTGCCCAAGAGACTTGACAGACCACTGGATTTATCACTTAAACATAGGTACATGCACCAAATGCAAACATGCAAACTAAATTGATCTGGAACCATTTCAGAATGACCTTATACACTTGTGACAAAGCGCTATGGTTAAGCCTTCATAATTTAGGCTATTTGATTATGCTGATTGTAATGCTCTACAATGGCTGGATGTTTGTATCTGTCCTCATCGGAGGCGGTTTAGGATACTTTATTTTTGGTCCTAATTTCATGAAGCTCAACATGGAGAACTGCGCCATCATTCGAGACACCTACTGCATGGCAAATTGCTCAACACCAGGTAACAAAAGAAAAGAAAACTGAGAACCCAGATTCCCATCCCAATTCCTTGCTAATTTCCAGACAGCCAAGCCCTTTACATTGCTCTGAAGCGGGCCAGAGCTAAGGCGCAGACCTCAACGTGATTTATGTTTATTTAAGATACGCCTCGGGACGGGGAATCTACGCCAGCCATGGAGGCCTCTACTTCTGGAACTTCTTGCCATGTTCACACTGTTTCAGAAGTACAAGTTCATAATAACGAATTGAGCGATGAGACTATTGATCAACCAGACTAATTATCCCTTATCAGCAGCTAGCTTTAACGAAATCTAATACTAATCAATAGAATATGTTGGAAAATCTAATTTTATTGTTAAATTTTTAAAGAGATATTAATGTACACATTGACTCTAAAGGGCTGTTATTCCAAGGAAACGAAAAATATGTGCCTTGTATATGTAAATACGTAGATAAGATATGTTTGTCATTGAATAAAATTAATTTAGACATGTTATTTATGTATTATCGATACTCGATGAGTTGCAAGTAAAATGTGATAAGAATTTGCGATTATTGAAGTTACGTTTTTAGGCAACTTATTATACATTGTAACATTTCCTATTACAATTAAATTACTTTGAACATATGGACAACATCAATAACTTATCCACATAATTTTTATATAACGATTCTTTAAAGTCTATATTATTTTGTGCGCATTTTAATAACTCGACTTGAATTTTGGTTCTATTCCATCTACTTATTGTTGTTATTTTACATTAATTTTATAAGAGTCATTAATAAGCAATTTTACAATTAATTAATATGCAAACAATACAATTAAAATACAATTAGCACTAATATACCGCATCGACATTTGTTGCAGTCTTCGTGAAATTAAACGTGCAATTGTATCTGAGACACAAGAAAGTAAACAAATCTATACTTGTCGATAATTCGCTGTCAACGTTATTGAATAATTCATGTGAGTATTTGAATTGAATATAGGTGAACACAAGTAATTAACTTCTAAACTATATATAGCCTTGTTTCAGTTTTCCAGTATAATTCAGGTTAGTTTTGAAGAAAACAGATATGGAAAATTCAAGTTATTTGCATGGGGCCATGTCCAATGAGACCCTGAGAGCATGGCAGTCCATAAACTGTGATATCTCACCCAAGAACTTGATGTACCCCATATTTTTGGTGTAAGTAAGCTCATCGATTACACTTTTATGTAATTCATTAATTGGTATGATTCTAGTGAAAATGATGATGATATGCAACCTATCAAAAGTATGCCCGGAGTGGCCAGGTATGGCATCAACAAACTGAAGCCACATTTGGAAGAGCTTGTCCAGAAGGGATTGTCATCAGTGATTTTATTTGGTGTTATTGAGAAACTCAACAAAGTAAGATGTTCATGTCAGTTTAAATGTTGTCTTCATTTGAATATTTGTAGGATGATGTTGGTGTTCATGCTGACAGCAAGGAGAATCCTGTCGTAAGGGCTCTGCCAAAACTGCTTACTTGGTTTCCCAACCTGACAATTGCCTGTGATGTTTGCTTGTGTCCATACACTTCTCATGGTCACTGTGGCATCTTGCATGAGGATGGCAGAATCAATCACAAGGAGTCCATCAAGAGGATTGCTGAGATTGCAGTGGAATACGCGAAGCATGGGGCGCACATCGTGGCTCCTTCCGACATGATGGATGGAAGGATCAAAGCCATAAAGGATCTGCTCATTAAGCAGGACCTGGTGAATAAGGTAGCAGTCCTTTCGTACTCCGTAAAGCTGGCTTCCAGCTTCTACGGACCATTCAGAGATGCTGCGTTGTCGAAGCCGGCGTTTGGGGATCGACAATGCTATCAACTTCCTTCTGGATCGACGGGACTTGCTCTTAGAGCTGCGGTAGATTAATCGATAAACGTTGATTCCATGATCGTGCAATTTGTATTTTTTTTTAGGCGAGAGATGTGGCCGAAGGAGCTGATATGTTGATGGTCAAACCGGCGATGGCCTACTTGGATCTTGTCAGGAAAACTAAAGATGCTCATCCTCATCATCCCATGTTTGTCTACCAAGTTTCAGGAGAATATGCTATGATCTACCATGGGGCACGTGAAGGTGCTTTCGATTTGCAGAAGATTCTCAACGAAATTTTACTCTCCATGCGAAGAGCAGGTTAATTGTTTATATTTTACTAATTATTTAAAAAAAATCATGGAGAATTAATACTTTATGACTTTAAATTATATTTAATATTATTTTTGATTATATTAGTTAATAATTAAATAATTGTGTTTTTCAGGTGCTGATGTAATAATTACATATTTTGCGCCACAACTTCTTGGCTGGATGGAAACGAAGAGCAAATATTAGATTTACTTTTATTGTGAATCAAAAGCGAATTCGAAAGAATTTTCACGTTGTACTATCTTTAGGTCGTTACGCCCAAAATTCCAAATAATAGTGAGAGCAAATATTGACCTATTTCCGTATAGTTATAACAGTTATATTTACAGTTAGAGAGAGAAATAAATATGCATATAGAATATATAATAAGTTTGTTTCAATATTGCCCATTTTTTGCGACGTCTCATTAATTTCCCAATTGCATTTATCTAAATAATATTGTGTAGAAATAACAATTACACCTATTTTCCGTATTTCCGTAATTGTGCAATGAGAATGAATGGGTTTTGGATCGTGTAGTGATTCCATTTGTGATATTCTGTCTGGCTTTCGTGGCGGTGAGAGTGCGGCATTCTAGAAAATGTCCGGGAGACGTGTGCCAATCAGGAGTGGCCAACTAGCGCGTTTCGTTTGAATTTGCACCAATCAGAAGCCTACACGACGAATCCTATAGGTATATTCCAGTGATGGCAACATCAAGTCGGCATTTGTGGAGTGGTCTTAGTTCAGTGTAGAGGTGTTATCCAGGCATAGTCCGAGAGCTAACAAGAAGACAGAATATAATTTATAAAACGGTGAGTTTATTATAAAACTACTGTAAACACAATAAATCAATGATGTTTCGTTTATATTTGCTACAATCATTGTCAAAATGTTTATTCCTGTACGTAAACTTCAGCAGATCGAAAAAAGTAAAGTAAAATGGCCCCAAAAGGTGCTATAACTTGATTCAATTTTTAATAGGATTGATCGAAATGAATTGTGAATAATGATCCTGTTACAATTTAATTTTTTTAATCCATATTGGTTAGATTTCCTGCGTAAGAGTTTGCCTACAATAAGGTAACGTGGGCATAACGCGGCCCTCTTTGTATACGTGTCCGTCGTTGAGATAACAGTTACCATTTTTACACTTCCATAATTACATCTTGAATTAACGGTAATCTGGACTGAACGTTGAATCATCCTCTATTAATTACCGCAATTTTAGGTTAAATGTAGCAGTACACCCATTGAACATTAAATAAGAATTTAGAATTATTAAAAGGAACAGCTGGCTTTCATTGCTGACTGAAGCATGTGGCAATAAATTGTTGACTACTAATATTTCAAAAAAATGTTACTGGATACTTATTTTCTTTTATTGTTTGCAGAAACACAATGAGGTTGTCTTTGTTCTTGGGGGCTGTTTGCCTCTTGGCCACAGCTTTGGCTAAGGATGATAGCAAAAAGGATGAAGTTGGAACTGTGATTGGTATTGATTTGGGAACCACCTATTCATGGTAAGTTTCTTTTCATTTTCTGATTATTATTATTATTTTTGATACTTGTGGGCGTATATAATTTTTCATTTCCTATTTTTGTAATTATAGTGTGGGCGTATATAAGAATGGACGTGTGGAGATCATCGCCAACGATCAAGGAAACCGTATCACCCCATCTTACGTGGCTTTCACTGCCGAAGGAGAACGTCTTATCGGTGATGCCGCTAAGAATCAATTGACCACCAATCCCGAGAATACTGTATTCGATGCTAAACGTTTGATCGGTCGTGAATGGTCAGACAGCAACGTCCAACATGATCTCAAATTCTTCCCCTTCAAAGTCATCGAGAAGAACTCCAAACCGCATATCAGCGTGGCCACCGGACAGGGCGATAAGGTCTTTGCCCCCGAGGAAATCTCCGCTATGGTTTTGGGCAAGATGAAGGAAACCGCTGAAGCCTATTTGGGCAAGAAGGTCACTCACGCCGTCGTCACTGTACCCGCTTACTTCAACGATGCTCAACGTCAAGCCACCAAGGATGCTGGTGTCATCGCCGGTTTGAACGTGATGAGGATCATCAACGAACCCACCGCCGCTGCTATTGCTTACGGCTTGGACAAGAAGGACGGCGAAAAGAACGTTTTGGTATTCGATTTGGGCGGCGGTACCTTCGATGTGTCCCTCCTCACCATCGACAATGGAGTCTTCGAAGTAGTAGCCACCAACGGAGACACCCATTTGGGAGGTGAAGATTTCGATCAGCGCGTCATGGATCATTTCATCAAATTGTACAAGAAGAAGAAGGGCAAGGACATCCGCAAAGACAACCGTGCCGTCCAGAAGTTGAGGCGTGAGGTCGAGAAGGCCAAGCGTGCCCTTTCTGCTTCTCACCAGGTCAGGATCGAAATTGAATCCTTCTTTGATGGTGACGACTTCTCCGAAACTCTCACCCGTGCCAAGTTCGAGGAATTGAACATGGATCTCTTCCGTTCCACCATGAAGCCTGTCCAGAAGGTACTTGAAGATGCTGACATGAACAAGAAGGATGTCGATGAGATCGTCCTCGTCGGAGGATCCACCCGTATCCCGAAGGTCCAACAATTGGTCAAGGAATACTTCAATGGAAAGGAACCATCCAGGGGTATCAACCCTGATGAAGCCGTTGCCTACGGAGCCGCCGTCCAAGCTGGAGTGCTCTCCGGTGAACAAGACACTGACGCCATCGTTCTTCTCGACGTCAACCCATTGACCATGGGTATCGAAACTGTTGGAGGAGTCATGACCAAGCTGATCCCACGTAACACCGTCATCCCCACCAAGAAATCTCAAATCTTCTCCACCGCCTCCGACAACCAGCACACCGTCACCATCCAAGTGTACGAAGGTGAACGTCCGATGACCAAGGACAACCATCTTCTCGGCAAATTCGACTTGACCGGAATCCCACCAGCGCCAAGAGGCATCCCTCAAATTGAAGTCACCTTCGAGATCGACGCCAACGGTATTCTCCAAGTATCCGCTGAAGACAAGGTAGCCGGAATCCGCGAAAAGATCGTCATCACCAACGACCAAAACAGGTTGACCCCTGAAGACATCGAAAGGATGATCAAGGATGCCGAGAAGTTCGCCGACGATGACAAGAAGCTGAAGGAGCGCGTTGAGGCCAGGAACGAATTGGAAAGCTACGCCTACTCACTCAAAAACCAGCTCCAAGACAAGGAAAAGTTGGGATCAAAGTTGTCCGATGACGAGAAGACCAAAATGGAAGAAGCCATCGACGAGAAGATCAAGTGGCTAGAAGATAACCAAGATACCGAATCTGAGGAGTACAAGAAGCAAAAGAAGGAGTTGGAGGAAGTCGTCCAACCGATCATCGCTAAACTGTACCAGGGTCAAGGTCCACCACCGCCAACTCAGGAAAGCGACGATGATGACATCAAGGATGAGCTGTGAGAGGTGCAAGACTGAGAAGTAAACTAAATTAAAAAAAACCTCTAGCACAATCTTTGAAACAACAAAACAGTGAAGTTCAGTAATTAATTAATTATGTTTCATTTCAATTGCGTAAATGAATGGACGAACGTGTGATTATTTTTTTTTTTCAATCGTTACGAGTACTTTGATAAAGATTCTTTTTAACTTGAATCGTCCCTCTTAATTAAATTGCGTTACTCGTACCAGTTACGCCGTACTGATTTAGTTTATATAATGTGGGATCTACAATGATTTGATTTCAGTTTTATACTTGTGTAAAATTTAATATATATCTACTCTGGTGGTATTTATTTATACATATTTTTTTGTCTCTCATTGTCAAGTATCAGTGTATGATTCTTATATTATTTAATTTCTATTTTTTAATTAATTTCATCTTCCATTTGTTACTCCATTGTACACTCGTATTTGACTTGTTACATAGATGTTTTTTTTTTTCAATAAAAAAAATATTAAACTAAACTCTACAATTGTCTCCGCTAATTGTCTAAACCAGTTTCGGCCAGGGCCTGTTGCAACAATGGTATAAGCTCGTTTCTAAATAATTTGCTTGTGCTTCCGTGCGTGATGCTAAGCACATCCTTGGCTTTCTTCAGATGCACCAGAGCCTGACGGCACTCTTCTTGGTACACCAAGATCTTGCCCAATTTCAAGTACAAAAGTCCTAAGAGCGGATGCACATCTCCGAAATAAATCCTGCAAAGAAAACATAATTTAGGCAACCAAACTTACATAAGGTTAATGTATTACTTGTAACCCTCGATCAATTCTTCTCCGAATTCCCTAGCATCATTCCATTGACCGAAATCAATGCATGCCTGGAACGCCAAGTCTAAAGTCTTCACATACTGCACGTTGAATTTGTGCAAGACGCCGCGCTGCTTCTGCAAGCAGAACTTGCACACGTCCATATCTAATTTTGCTAAGAATTGAGGAATTTCTTATTCATTTCGATCCAATTTTTGTTTCAGAATTAAAATAATGATTAACTGTTATAAAGGATACAAGCCATGTCGTGCATGTTCTTCAAATGCACGTCAGAAAACTCGGTAATCTCCTTATATTTCTTCAAGAAATCTTCGGTGATCTTTTCGTTGCATTGTAAGCATTTTTCGGTGGACTGCATGGGGTCAATGGAAGCGTCGCAATTAGTATTCGGGCAGGCTGCAGCGATCATGTTATCCGTTTCCTTAGGATCCAAACATTTCGGGCATTGACACAGGAAGTAGTAGGTGTACATTAGATCTTCCTGTCGAACTTTGGGCGTATTCATCGTATCTATGTAGCTGATGAAAATTTGAGACCAGTCTAAACTCGGCAATTCTTCGGTACACCTTATGGAAAGGGTGACACCTTCGAAGGTGGCTACAGCATTAGGTTTACAGGAATGATCAACTATAGAAGCCCCCAGGTAAATTCCGGTACCCAAAGACACCAATTCAGAATCGCATATGTTGAAACTGTTTACGCACATCTAAAAATAACCACGTTTCAAGTAGATTAGTTAATTTTGAAGTGCTTCCACCTTACCCGTCCGTACATCCCCATCAGCTCAGCTGAATTTGGTAAACCAACACCGCCGAAGAACTCGTGCAATACGCCGTACAACGAAACGAAATGCTCCATCTTCTTAGAGTTCTCCTTCAAATCCGTGTAATCTAAAATACGAATACTTTAGAATTTTAGAAGTTCTTTTTTTATTAATACAATTCTATTAATTACGTGACATTAGGTCTTTGAACATCCTGAAATTCCCTTCAGAATAATATGACTTGACCAAATCTCCACCCTTCTGCAATTTTCTGATCAATCTGGCCAACAATCTTGCCGCGTCTGGCAAAACCCTGGGCAATGTTCTCTTAATGTTTGAACACTCTGGTTTGTGCACAGACCAGGCCTCCCTCTGGCAATCTCTTCCACAATAATACACATATTGGCAATTGGAGCACTTCAACAGTTTTCCCCTTCAAACAAATTAAATACCAAAAAAATTTGGCATTAGTAAATTAGTAAATAGTAAATAATGTATGAAAAATCACTTATTTTTCAAATAATTATGATAATATTAAGCATACTTATTATATTAATTAGAAGATAAGATAAGTTTGAATGTACAAGGTAAAATAATATTACTGTTTATAATAATTTTTACATTTGTAAATCTTAAAACACTTGTCATTTGAACAAATGATAATTATTGTTATTAATTAAAAAAAAATACTGAATAAAACTTACTTTTTAAAACAATTGTCACAATATTGTGAATGAACCTTGGAGCTGAGGATGTAGACAAAAGGCTCCTCCTTAATCAGAACAGTTCCAGGTTTGACCCTTTGCAGCACCCTCATTTCTGAAAAGTTATGCAAGTCAGGTGTGAAGCTGGAATAGTGGCAATAGACTGAGAGGATATTTATAAAAGTAGATTATATAAATTTAGAAGCTGGCTTGAGAATAGCGAATGCATAAATCATTTAACAGTACAAACATTGCTATCATTACTACATCCAATAATATTTTTTCTCTCTCCCCCTTGCTAATGAAAAAAATAAATAAATTATTTTAGATAATTAATATTTCCCAATTAACATATGGAATGCGTATGATGAGCATGGGCGCAATTGTAAACAGCCTGTTTATCTATAAATATCCTTGAGTGTGTATTTATAAATATTTAAAAAAAATAAATAGACGGCTACATAACCTACCACCTGACATGTTTTTGGAAGTATATAATGATCAAGGTTGGAGCACTGCCAACCCAAAGAATGTAAATTGAAGATTCTTTATGTAAATTGTATTGGAAACGTTTGTTGCTATTAGATCTTGTCAGATTTTTGAAGATAGGAACTAAGTCTTATCAATAAATAATTATCAGAGTGTAGTTTAATGATAATATCCAATTGGATTTTGCTGGTACCGTGAGTTCGATTAGTTTGTTGGTGATAGTCACCCTTCATACCATTCATACCACAAACTGGATCTGTCAGAAGTGACATTAGAATTGTCAGAGAGGCACGATCGGTGCGTGTGTCTTTATTTTGATTTTTCGGTTTGGTTTTTTAAGTTTTGCGAGCAGAGGATGAGTCCGGTGCAGTGATGGACATCTTCACGCTACTGGACAGCATCGATGGGAAGTTGGGATCCATGCTGAGGTCCACCTTTACCAGCCAATTTGCCTCCACGACGTCCTACGAGGTTCGCTCTCTATCCTATCCCCCTTTGTTTTTGCCCGTTCGTGACATTGAGGAATGCTCTCTCTGTCCTTTCTTTCAAACGTGGGAATTCTACGTTATCAGTTGCTTTGTTTCACACAATTAAACCTCATTTAAATACACGAAATACGTGAATTATTTATTGGAATTATTGACAATAAAGGAGATCAGTACAAGTCTACATTCCGCTCCACACACTACAGCTGAACCATGTGTGGTGATTACTTCTACTACAACTACATAGATTTTCTTCTCTTCTTCTTCCAGCCTATCTATATACTTGTGGTCTCAATCCTCACCACTATTCTGATCATCTTTGTCATCATATTCAGGAGATGGGACAAGAAAGGTATGTACATGTGTGCTCTTCACAGATTATGGTAACATTTTTATACAAAAACTCATACCATTGCGCATCAGAAAAACAAGTTATGTAATTGTTATTTGAACTGTAAATAAATTATTGCGGTTGCTTAGCAACGGACGACCTTGGTATGCAACACAACATGCTCACCTGAATTTCGGATCCATAATTTCGATAAAACATTTAAAAATCGGTTGTATATTTTATGAAATTATTATCGAATTTCAAGCAATATAATATAACCTTTGTATTCACCTATTAAATTTCCATTTCTATTATATCTTCGTAAATATGGTAAACACCTTTTACGATAATTGTACACGTGCGCGCATTACATACTTTAACCATTTAATTGCATATGAAAAGGTCAATCTATCCTTTGTAATATATATGAGATATTACTTACATGGATAAAGCATATAAATGTTTAGTAATAAATAAATACAAAATAATTAACTACAGTTCAATTAATTGTAATTTTTCTATAATTTTCTTGATGGTTACTTCAATGACTATGTGTAGTTATAGAGAAAAAGGAATCGGTGGCGTCGTCCACGCGATTCCGGAAACGGGACAAAGCCCTATTTTACGGTCGGAAAATGCTGCGAAAGGTGCGTTCCATTTCCGGTCAAGTGAGATCAGGACAAGGACGTAAAAGGAAGATGGTGATGAAGTTTGCACGGAGGATTCTGCAGCTGAAGAAAGATAATGAAGCCGAACAATTAAAGGTTTGAATTCTAAAAACATACTGTTTTGCAAGTAAAACTCATTCAAAAGTGTAGTTTCTTCAAAAATCCATTGCTTTTTTAGGTGTTGGAACCTCCAGCGGAATATCTGCAGGAAGACACTTTGAGCGATGAGAGGATGCCTCCGGATTTGCTGTATATGCTGCAAAGTGTTCGAGTTTTCGGGCATTTCGAGAAACCAATTTTTCTGCGCCTCTGCAAGCATACGGAAATTATAACTGTTAAAGCTGGCGCTCATCTATTCAATATTGGTAATGAAGCAAATTATGTATTGATTATATAATATGTATGTATTTGCAGGTGATCAAGATGAAAATGTGTATATTGTGCAAAACGGGAAAGTGAATGTATATATAACGAACCCGGATGGTTCGGCTCTGTCGTTGAAAGTTGTGAAAACCGGCGAATCGGTCACTTCTTTGCTGAGTTTTATCGATGTTTTAACTGTAAGATACAAAAACCTGCATTTACATATATCTTTATTTACTCACAATTGATTTTCCAGGGACAACTAAAACCTTACAAAACTGTAGCGGCTAGAGCTTTAGAGGACTCCACGATTGTGAAGCTCCCAATGAAAGCTTTCAACGACATCTTCCAGGATAATCCAGAGATTCTGGTGCGGGTGGTCCAGGTGATAATGGTCCGTTTACAGCGAGTCACCTTCACCGCTCTTCATGAATATTTGGGATTAGGAGCGGAACTTTTCATATCCGTAATTTAATTATTTGATTTAGTTTTGGCAAATTATAATTTGAAAATGTGACATTGTTCAGGCGCCGAGGGCGAGAAAATCGCATGTCTTTGTGTCTCCGAGTAAAAAGATGAAATCCAACGATGAATTTGATATCGGTTCATCCGCGCAGTCACAACCTATTCCCGTGCCTGTGAACAAGAATCAGAAATCGACGTCGCCTTTGGTGAACACACCGGATATGATACCGGAGTATAAGAAAGGGGAATTACGGGCTACACCTCCAAACAATCCCGATATGATTCCGGATACTCAGAAGCTGGTATTACAGTTTACACGCAATTTATCTTGGATCTGGTTCTATATTTGATCAATAATTTCAGAATCCGGAAGCGTCTAAGAGAAATCTATTTGAAGCAGAAGAAGGCACGGCTCGCAGGAAAATGTCCATGAGCGAGATCACCGATGAGACTGTACTGCACAACATAGCTATGGAAGCGTTCATCAAGGAGTTGGGTTTAGAAGGAGACACGTCCTCGCTGATAGACGGCGTCGAGGTCAAGGAAGTCACTACGGGAACATATATTATGAAAGAGGATTCGAACAAAGTATACTTTCTGAGGATTTAGATTAAATCCAAATTGAATTTGTGTTATTTTTTTGTAGGATGTTGCTTTGGTTTATGTCCTGTCTGGAAGCATGATTGTTTCGCAGAGTATAGCTGAAAACGATGCTAACGAGGTGAGCATGTACACAGCGCATAGCGGAGAATTTGTTGGTGGATTGGCCGTGCTCACCGGAGAACCGAGTTATTTTACCGTTAGAGCTAAACATAATGCTCGAATTGGTTTGATATCGAAACCAACATTTTACAAGTAGGTTTATTCTTTTAGTACTTTTATAGTATTTGTTAATCGATTCGCATTGCTTTGTTTTGCAGCTTGGTTAAGGAGAATCCAAAGATCATCTTGCACGTGGCGAACTTGGTCATATCGCGCTTATCGCCGTTCGTGAGGCAAGTGGATTTCGCGCTGGACTGGGTGTTTCACGAAGCAGGTAGAGCCGTTTACAGACAAGATGATGATAGTGATACTACGTTCGTGGTGTTGTCGGGTCGCATGCGGTCTGTGATCACGCACAACGGTGGTAAAAAGGAATTGGTCGCCGAGTACGGTAAAGGGGATCTAATTGGAATCGTCGAGATGGTCACGCACACGAAGAGGAGCACCACCGTTATAGCAGTCCGGGATTCCGAGTTGGCCAAGTTACCGGAAGGCTTATTCAACGCCATAAAGATGCGGTATCCGATCGTGGTCACCAGACTAATAAATCTGCTGGGTTTGAGGATTTTGGGCACCTGGCAGAATCCGAACATCAAGAACCTCAGCGCCAAGAGGATCACGAACAACGCGACGGTAGAGAGCAGACCTACGCAATTGAACTTCTCCACGGTGGCCATAGTTCCTGCATCAGATGATATTCCCATGACAGCATTCACATACGAACTGTTTCACTGTTTGAACGCCCTGGGAGCAACGTCGAGGCTGACCTCGGACGTGGTGAAGAAAGCGTTGGGTTCTTCCATCATGGATCCGAACAATGAATACAGGTTAACCTCGTGGTTGGCGCAGCAGGAAGATCAGCACAAAATATGCCTGTACCAGTGTGACAATTCGTTCAGTGTGTGGACGCAGAGGTGCATTCGCCAAGCGGATTGTATCTTGATAGTGGGACTCGGCGATAAGGAACCAATCGTTGGTAGGATGGAGCGAGAGATCGAGAGGGTGGCTCTACGTACTCAAAAAGAATTAGTGTTGTTGCATAGAGAGGAGGGTGGAAAGCCGCAGAACACGGTGGCATGGTTGAACATGCGCTCGTGGGTATCTTCGCATCATCACATTCTTTGTCCCAAGAGGATGTTCTCCAGGAAATCTTTGTATAGAATTGTAAGATAATCCAAACAGATTATTTGTTATGCTGTTAATTATTCTTTTCAATTTGCAGAACGAACTTTATTCGAAAGTCTGTCTATCGGAACCCAACATCCATTCAGATTACTCACGACTGGCTCGCTGGTTGACCGGTAAATCGGTGGGTCTGGTCTTGGGTGGTGGCGGGGCCAGAGGATCCGCTCACATTGGAATGATAAAATCTATAATAGTAAGCAATTGCAATCTGCATTGAAGCAATTTAATTGGTTGTTTCTCAGGAAGCTGGGATTCCCATCGACATGGTGGGAGGGGTCAGCATAGGCGCCTTCATGGGCGCGCTCTGGTGCAAGGAACGCAACATAACAACCGTTACGCAAATGGCCCGAGAATGGTCTAAGGTACAATCGAATCGAAATCCAATTTCATCTATAATTCAACGCCTGAATTTGTTTTTCAGAAAATGACCCAATGGTGGCGTCAGCTCTTGGACCTGACTTACCCGATGACCTCCATGTTCAGTGGAAGAGACTTCAACCAGACGATACGTGGAACGTTCGGAGAAACGTACATTGAGGATCTGTGGTTGCCCTATTTCACAGTCACCACCGATATCTCTGCCTCCTGCATGAGGGTACATCATCATGGTACGTTCTTCCACATTTCCTTTAAATAACTTTAATTATTTCAAATTTTATTTATTTAAATGCCAAAGAAAATATCGTTATTTACACAAAACAATTGTTTCTTCAATGTTGGCTTTGACTTTGCTTGATGCGCATGATAAAATAATACCGTTACACAATTATTTTTCATGCGTATCCTCCTTTTTCATATTTCAACTATCTAAGCTTTTACTAATTATGTAATTTCAATATGAACCTAATCATGTTAAATGGTGGATGCGCAAGGTAAGCACGCACCGAGTGTCTCAAATAATTGTGATTATGGCAATACTAAATAATTACCATTTGCATGTTATTATTTGAGACGTTCTGTGCTATTGCTATTGAGGTGGGTAGTTGAAATATGGAAAGAGCAAGATATATTTTTTTTTACTCCGGTCTGGTTATGTGGTGATTGTTTATAAACTGTATATAAAGCGAAAACGTAAAGGCATTCTAGCACTGCCCTGTCCTCATTTTGCGGAGCACACGTTCGTTTTTATATACAAATATATAATAATGATAATCTCCTAGTATGTACATAGGAAACTCATTGCTTCGAAACGAACCGTTTTTCTTTTCTGTATGTTGTCTGTTTGTTGTTGTATGTCCAAAGAAACCCCCCTTTATTTGTCTATATCATTTACGTTAAAAAAACAATTATTATTTTCATTTGTTTCTTATTCACGCCACTGTTTTCTGTCTCTTTTAAATTTACTTTATGGTGGCTCCTAATTATTATTATTATTTCTGTATGTGTATTTGGTGTATGCAAACATTGTGATTGGTTGACCATTATGTTTGCACAATATTATTATTTCTTTTTTATTTCATCCTGTTTTGCTTCACTAATTGTGCAATCATAGAATACTCACTCTCTCTCTCACACACACACACACACACAGACTAAAAACTAACTCCTTTGTTTTAATTTCAATTAAGTGATAGTTATTTTTTTAATTTTTATTAATTACTTCATTTATCCTTTAGTTTCGTGCTTATTGGAGATTGCTTAATTAGAATTAGCGAATGTCGTTGTTGTTGTTTTTTTATTATCATTATTAGTTTCTTTTGGGATTAACAAATGACCTGAGAGCTCTCTTGAAAACAAAAATATACGAAAATATACGTTTTCTGCTGATATGTGTCTGCACTATTATTAGGGTATGTATTTTTGTTTTCGTAAGCTTAGACAATATGTTTTAATATTGATCGTGTCGTTTGCATGCAGAAAAAAAACACGAATTTCATGTTTCCACTCCAATCTTTACGCTTAGTCCAATTTTGATTAATATAATAATAACTGCATTAATTTACGTTTCTTTGGCAACGTAATGCTTTTATTGTGCAATTAAGCGTAAAGTGTTGTGAGTTGAATGCGAAGTGAAGAAGTTTTCAAGAAACAGTGGCGTTTCTGGGGTTTCACCAAAACTAAATAAATAGAAAAGAACAATGTGTATGTGTTACCAGATGCGTCAATGTGGAGAAATAAATCAACAGACAATCACACGCAGAATAATAGTAGCGATTTTACCATCCACTTTGTGATGAAGAAATCTAGTTGTTAGATTGCATAAATCGATCACACTATTTGATCATCCGCACCGCTGAGCTTCTCTCTATATCTGTATGTTTCGTTCAAGTTGTTTTGTGTATTTAGGGTTCACCGATTCTATTATCGTTCTATTCTTTTTAACTGTACATTAATCGATTTACTTAAGCCGACCATTTCAAAGGTTATCTTTATTTGATGCGAAGATTATGTTTATCATGATGATGAGGAAGAGCGAGAAATATGAAAAGAAAGAAAAAAAAAAGAACAGCATTTTTTTTTGGGCATGTTAGTTTAGTGCAAGTGTGTCGCAGGATCTCTGTGGCGGTACGTGAGATCTTCAATGTCATTATCTGGATACATGCCACCGTTGTGTGATCCAGTGGATGGACATCTTCTGCTCGATGGCGGATATGTTAACAATCTACCAGGTAAGGAAGTCTAAGCGATCCGAAGCACCATAGATTAGATTAGATATATGAAGGATGAGGAGAACTTAAGTTGAGTCTTTAGTATAAAACGGTTTCGCGTGAAAGGAGGAAGGTAGGTCGGTAGATGCTAAGCAGCGAGCGTGCGGTGGGTGGGTGTGCTAACACGCCCACAGCGGCTCGTTCCCTCCCTAGTTTCGCGGTCCAATCAAAGACAAACATTTATCTCGCAGGTAACCAATCACAATTAACCGAGAGGTTCGAATGGCCAATGGTGGATGCGTACTATACTCATTTCGTTTTTATTTATTTATTTTTATTAATCTCTGCACCCCCGTATTGTTTTTTTTTTATTCTCTTATCTGTTTGTTATATTTGTTTTTGATCGTATGTGTTGTTGTTATTATTTTTCTTTGGGTTGTTCTGTGTGAGAGGAGGGGTGTTGTGTGTTTTCACTTTCATTTCCTTGAGACCCCAGAAAACCGATGAGTTTTCCGTATTTACTTTCTCTCTTATTCCTTTGGAAGCTTGGGTGGAGAATGTGCAGACATCATTTCGATACTAGACTTCATTAATTATTGATTTTTTTTTCTCTCCATTTGTTTCTTGTTGTTTTTATTTTTGAATGTGTTATATGATGAAACAGGTAATATGTGGAGGTACATTCGTGCCAGCATGACATATGTTGGCATATTTCCACCCATGTGCGATCCTGTTGATGGGCACTTTCTTGTAGACGGATGCTACATAAATAACGTACCAGGTATTAAAAAAAAACACCTATTATTATCCATAAACAATACTTTTAAAAAGAAACTAATTTGTGTTAAGATTCGCACATGTCCACTCTCTTTCTGCAACACTCTCTGTCTTTATATATATATATATTTATACTTATATCCTCTCGCTCAGTTTATTTATATATATACATATATGTTTTATTTGTTTTAATTAGTTCATATTTATATAAGATATGTACAAATATTTCGTCGTGAGTTTCGTCTTTGTAATTGGAAATCCTGCGAGGTAAGTTTTCAATATTGGAACAAAATCGGAGCGTTCTCGTTTTATTTTAATTTATTTATTATTTTTTTTGTTAACATTGTTACTCAACATGTTCATTAATTTTGTTTGTTTATTCTTAAGGCCTCCTCTCTTTCACACCACTCGATTTTAAGAAAATGCGAAACGCAAATTACGATTCAAGCAGTTTCTCGATTAGTTAACTTTTCTATATGAACTAAAAACGTTCTCTTATTTGAAGGTAATTTATCGATTGTACATTCACAAAATGTTAGACACCACAAAATAGATATGTAAATTCAATAATTATATTTTGATTGCTCATTTTCTAAAAATATCTTTAATAATTTATACAAATTTCGTTAGGGTCGTTATTTCACTAATTTTAAATACTTTATTTAAGACCAATCTTCATGTTCAGGAATTTCAATTAAGTTGTATATTTTGCCTTCAAATCAGCAGAAATTGTTTTTTCTTCTCTTTATTTCTTCTTGTATTTCGGTTATGGTAATTGATATATTTGTAGCCGACGTGATGCGCAGCCAAGGCGCTAGTCACATCATAGCAATAGACGTGGGTTCCGTCGATGACCAGGACCTCACCAACTACGGAGACGACCTCTCCGGTTGGTGGTTGCTATGGAAACGATGGTATCCGTTCACGCAGCCGGTGAAGGTTCCCAATCTACCGGACATACAATCGCGGTTGGCGTACGTTAGTTGCGTTAGGCAGCTGGAGGTGAGCTCTTCTTCGATTGCTATTACTAAATGAACGTTTAATTCTTTGCATTTCTTTTTCAGGAAGTGAAGACGAGCGACTACTGCGAGTACATCCGTCCACCTATCGACAAGTACAAGACTTTGCAGTTCGGCAGCTTCGACGAGATCAAGGAGGTTGGGTACCTGCACGGAAAGGCGTACTTCGATGCCAAGCAGAAGGCCGGCCAGTTACCGTTGTTCGCGAGTACGGAACCCAGGAAGTCGCACCTGTTTCCGCAGCGCCACGTGCTTTCCGGCTACACGTTCACCGATCTGGCGCAGATGGTTTGCAAAATCCGAAGGTGAGCGCTTCCTCCTGCCACCTCGTGCACGCTTCTCGATTACATAATAATCAATCATATTTCATTTACATTACATCTGATTTGCTGTTGTAGGCCTTACGAGGACGAATCCTCGAACTCTGACTCGGACGACTACGATGAAAACGATGAGAATCGCGGATACGTTTCGGAACCCTCGGTCGGAATCAATGACGTAAGTTTTTTGTCCACCCTGAAACCACCTTTAACTACTAACTTTTGATCCTGTAGGAGTTTACCAGTCAATGGGATGGTGACGCTAGCTCCCTATAAACTTTACCCCTGCATGGCTTATTTATTTTAATTTGGTAACATTCTATTATGTTTATTTATTATCTCCTATCTGCAACACCCAAAACCAATCAATAGTTTCTACAGCACTTTTCAATCATTTCCATCTGCTATTATCACAATATATTACAATTAAGTTATATAACATATCAGAAGAAACGGTTTTACATTTGTTATCTCTTTTAGATTAAGAATACGGAAAACTGAAAATGTTTACGCAGAGCAATCAATGTTTATTCTATCCAAGAAAGGTGTGTCTGCAAACACCGAGCGTATTGATAAATTGCAGCAAATATTGATTGGTTATGTGCAATTTACTTGAACATTTCTTTTTGTATTAATCTGTCTAGGAGAAATAATAACACTTCATTCATTTATTGATCCTCTAATATGATCTATTGTTTGTTTGTAGAATACGAATAAGGAATATGACAGACCCTACGGTTCATTATCGCTGTCCGAGAACGAGATGTGAGGATGTGGGTGCATTTAATTAATTATTTTTTTTTATATACGATTCAACGAGTATAAAACCTAAAAGTCCAGTTCGATCCACAATAACCGGCGGTGATATTATACTAATTCCTAGTCGATAGTACTTTTTACGAAGCTCAGAGATGTATTATATATAACTTTTACGATGCGCATTCATTTGGGTTATCATTTCTATGATTTTTGTTTTTTTTTTCTTCTTCTGTCTTCTCCTGCAACGAAAAGATCGTTTCTCGTTGCACCATCTTTTATCCCCCCTCTGGATTTTAGTCAATCATTTTGGTTACCGATTCGTTCGTATGTGTACATATATTTAGAAACAATTAATTTTATACGTATGTTTATTATTAACTCTTTTTTTTTTGTCTTTTAGAATTAACGCACAGGGATTATGTAATATTTTTTTATTGCGATTTTGATCTCTCTCGGTTTACGTATACTTCTCCTTTTGTTTTTGTAAATTTTGATGGAATGTATAAAACAATCTGATTAATTGTGAATTATATATATAAAAAAAATATATAGTATATACAAAACTTGCTGATGATGCGCGAATAAGCGCGAGTTATTTATTTCTTCTGATGCGGTATTTGCTGCAGATTGGGATCGATTATGTTGAGGACGGCTCCGATCAGGTGCAGAGAGCCGGTGACCAGAAGATCGTGTTGATTCTCTTTCAAAGCTTGTAGAGCGTCGAAGACCGATGGAAACACGTGCACTTCGGAGTCGATCATTTGAGATCCTCCCAGTAATTTCAACCATTGCTCTTTGTGCAATTCGCACCGTTCGATGGATTTGCTGCCGCCGCCGAAATCTGCAATCGAATGGTGTTAAGAAAATTGCTTATAGGCATAAGTTGTAAATGTAGAGAAGAGATACCGGCTATGCTTTTATCCGTTCTGGAAACGTTTGGGACGAAGAATACTTTATCGTAGTGGCACTTCTGTAAGATCTTCAGATGATCTACGGATTTGCGGTCTCCGGTGCTGTTGAATATCAAAGCCTTCCGGGATTTCGAATGTTTAGTCTGCTGTTTGAACCATTCCACGCAGTGTTCAATGCTGTCTTCGGTGTGTGCACCATCGAGGTGGTAAACGATGTTGTCAATTGATAATATTTGAAACCGCCCAGGCCAAGAGCACGTTCGCAACGCATTTTGCGTTAGATCGGAATCTTCCTTCAAGCCTAAAACGGTCGATGAAAATCATTCATCATCGATGATTATTGAAGTTACCTTTGAGATTCAAATAGGCTTTGGAAAGGGTTAAAGCTAGAGAAACGTTGCGCTTGTAGATGCTGTAAGGGTGGCCGATGCAATCCTCCGCATATTTCGGACAATCTTCGACGACATGCAATTCGCACTGTTGGCGACACACAAAAATAAACAATTATATAATGATATATAATCGCAGTGGTAAATAGTTACTTCTTTCTCTACGCTTCGCTCCTCTAATACTTTCATCGCGTTGGCGGGTTGATCGACGGTGAATGCCTCGCAACCCTTCTTCATGATCCCGCCCTTGTGCCAAGCGATTTCCTCCATGCTGTTGCCTAGCAAAGAGGTGTGATCGTATCCAAGCGATGTTATCCCGACTATCGGCACGTTCCTACACAAAGTAAATAGTTGCTATGCGACGCGTTCAAATATTGTATTTATACCTAAGAACATTGGTCGTATCGTATTCCCCGCCGATTCCGACCTCTATCACAGCCACGTCCACCTTCTCCATAATGAAGATTTTAAATGCGAGTATCGTCAGCATCTGAAAGTACATCGGCATGCCATCCTTCTCTCGCTGCGAGAGCCTATCGTGAACATCCCAGAAGTACTTAACGAATTTCCCTTTACCTATAGGTTTCCCATTGATCCTGATCCTCTCGGTGACATGCACCAAATGAGGCGAAGAGTAAAAACCCGTCTTCAGACCGTGTTCCCTGAGGACGCTCTCGCAGTAGGCGCAAGTGGATCCCTTGCCTTTAGTACCTGTGACATGGATCACAGATAAACCATCTAATTGAGTCAACGAAACACCAGATCTAAACAAATATTTGCTTGTGAATATAAGAAATACAAAAAAAATAATAAATGAAAAAAAAAAACTTATCAGCAAGATGAGATAACAAAACACACCTACTAATGAACTCATAGGTTTTCTGTAGTTTATTTGTGCCAGTCTGTGTCGAAGGTGAGGACACCTTGCTGATATAATCGGCATTGCTTTGCAGATTGTTCAGTGCTTGTATTGTGGCCTGGAATATAGGTTACAGTGATTTCGTTTCTATGGACTTTCTTATTAAGTGAGAACATACCTCATACATGCTTGCACTTGTGAGCTTTGCGGAGGGCTGTGACTTCAGCATTTTCCCTGCGATATTCAACATTTATTGACCGTATAAACCTGAACATAACTACAATTGCGACTAAAATAATCTCTGCAGCATGTTATCTCGTTTACTGTTGTTTGACCTTCGAAATCGATTGCCCGTTTGAAATCGAAAGCTTCTTGGAGAAAGATGAACAAGGATATCAATTTATGAAATAGTTGTTTGTTCATTTTCCTGTTACGTAACGTGTTAATATTTATTTTTAATTAGTTTCTTTTTGCATCAGTGGAGATTACCATAGGCAGGTGCATCTTGTATGTTTTAATTTAAGGATCATTAAGAATACTGTTTGCGTTTGCCTTAGCAAGATAATGTTATCTGCCAGTATTCAAATGCATTTACACTTTTATTGTGTACCTGGGTATTCTATGTAACGAATATATAGATAATGAGCATTTTGAAAAGTTACCCTTTCCTGTAAAATAACTTGCATAACAAAAATTCGTTACATTTTTATGGTTGGGTATTCAGTTTTGCTGCGTTGGCAATACTATATTCGGGTAGATTCGTGGGGATTTAAATGTCCTGTCGTTTATTGGTGGTAGTGGGGAGAGAACAGCAGCAACCAAACAAGAAGTTGGTATACAATTATATAGACGCCAACGAACGTATACGAAGGAGAGAGAGTAGCTTTTTTTTTGCTGCTTTACGTGAAGAGACCGTTGTGTTTGTTGGCTTTTAAATTTTTAAATAGACTCCTTATAACCTTTTCTTTTACCATTGACGTGCACGTTGGGTGGACAGGGGAACGCCGAAATTTACGAAGAGTTCGTCATGTTCGTTAAGTGAGAAGCATTTCAGTTGTTTTTTTCGTTCAGTGTTTGGGTTCCTCCATTGAGATACAGAAAAAAACTAGCAACAGGAAGTAAGAGGAGCAGCAAGGGGAAAAAAGAAGGTACAGAAAATTGTTGAGAAACAGCTCAAAACATTTTGGAAGTATGACTAGCACGGACATAAATGAGAGGATCCTGATCTCTAAGCCAACTGTGGCCAGGAACCTGTTCAACAGGATGCTCAGGGAGCCTGGAATCTCTGACAGATTCATACCAACAAGGGCCAACAACAGTTGGGATACAAATTTTGCAACAATACAGGACTCCTCGAGTGGGTCTCCAACTGGAAAGAAGGCTAGAGAGAACAATGATTCACCCAGGGACACATCAGCTTACCATTGCTTGCTGAGGAATGAGCTGCTTGGAGATAATATTGAGGACATAAAGACACAGTGTGACGATAGGCAGGCACTCACTCCCAATCAGAAGAACCTTTTCAAATATGGCACTCCAGCAAGGATACGGGTATGTTTCATTTGTTTATCACTTACTTTCCTTTAACTTTTAATGTATGTTTATTTACTGGGAGGGCCTTGGGAACAAAAAAAATATATATTGTACAGACCAACAATTGTGCTTAGTCAAGCAATATTGTAATTATTGAAATTGTATGCACAGGTTCTCCTTTTCATTTTTTCTACTCAATGAGAGTCCAATTGGACTATATAATTATTAATCTACATAGCAGTATTTTCTTCAACATTTGAAAACTACTGCAGGAAACACCAATTATTCAATTTCTCTATTCTTCACAATTGTTTCTAAAGGCAGCCTTATTACAGCTTATTACAGAATTTGTCAAACACATGTATTGTGTAAAAAATATATAATTAACACTTCTGATAAACGAAACTACTCTATAAATCATAAACAATATACATGAACTGCAAAAAAAACTTTTGTGTTTGTATTGAATTTAATCTACTACTAATATCCATATTATATTAGTTTTGTTTGTACAATACCATCGCACGCTCCAGGAATACATTATATCTCTGTACATTCGTCAACGGTTTGATATTTGAAACAAATAAAAGGTGGTGCTCGTTCTCAGAAATAATTACTCCGTTGGAAATTATTTACATATACAGTTAAGAATACATTTACTTAATAACGTTCGATTGATTGCTAATCATTGAGCACATGGTGATAAACAAATGATAAGCTTTTGAATTAAAATTCATTGGAATCTACATTTAGTACTTCATATAGCAAGCAGATATATTACGAATTGTGTAAATATACCCGGATTCTTTAGGTTAAACTAAAGTATTTGAGATTTATGCCCCATTATTCATCATCATTTTCACGTGATTCTCGATTTTACGACAGGTAAGAGTGGAGTAAAATTCGAGACATGTACTAATGGTTTATTCGATACGTTGTCTGGTTTGAAACTAATCCGGTGTCAATTTTGCGTTTTATCTGTTTTCGAACCACTCGAATATTTCACAAGATAATCTAGCTATCGAGGAATTCGACTTTTCCATATTTTTTTTTTAAACTAAAACCGATAAAAGGATTGAGCAAATAGTTGAAACAACTTGGATAATAAGTGCACGCGTTATCAATAATTTATGTTGGATGTGCAAGTTTACATTATACTTATGCATATTCCTAAAAGTAAAAACTGTTTAACATTTCTTCATTAAACAACCACGAATTGTTTGGTATAACGTTAAATTGGTTCGTTAAAGTAATAATTAATACAAATATTTTAATAGCTTTAATATTTCTGGAAAAGTCTTTATAATAATTGCATAAACAACTTGAGTTTGCTTAATGATATGCAGATACACACATTTTCCATATAAAGATCAATTGCTTTTTGCAGTTAATCTTAGTGTTTAGCAGTGAGATGATGATTTTAATTATAGTTGTTGAAAATAATGGATTGTCGAAACTATAATTAAACTGATGGTCGGTGCTGGTAAAGAGATTTATTGAATTGACGATTCTCAGCTTGTCAGCAGTTCACTTTTTTTCAACGGTTTTTTTCCATGTGCATCGCCTGTCTTTTCTCGTAGCCGGCTATAATAAGCGTCATATTTAATATTCAGTAGCGAGTTTTCTGGTTCGCTTTTGGTAGTAGTAGTAGTAGTTGTATATTTATTGCCTGCTGGATGGATGCGATCTATTTTTGTATCTGGTTCTGGGATCGTGCCCACTTTGACCCCTCACAGAGAGAAAGAGATTTTTCGGTTTCGTGTTTGTAGCGGATGTCTCTCTCCCTGCACGTTCGTTGTTTGCACGGTGGCACGCGTCCCGCAAAGGGGTGGCCACGTGTCCCCTGACCTAAAATAAATATATTCCTATTCCTAACTGGTAACTGGTTTCGATTCGGGGGACATTGTTATCGGGCGGACCTATTTTTAGTTTGTTCGCTCGTCTGTTTGATTAATTAAAATACATGTGCATTCCTAATAACTCTCGTTCCATCCATTACTACTACTATATGCTATATGCCCATGCTATTTTTGGAGCGACTAATTTATTTTCCATTTGTCGCAGATAAAGTATTATTTTTGTTTTCCTTTTTGATAAAATACCTTTTACGTTATTCAATTTTGTTGTCCTTCCGTTTCGTTTCCGGTGATTGTGCCCTCATAAAAAAATTTCGGCATATCTTGAACAACAACTCAACCATCCATCAGTATACAATTGCCGACGAAGGGCCGTTGACCGTTTAAGGAAAATGGAAAGTGATTGTCCCTTTTGTTCGTGGGCGTTCCTTCCATTAGGTAGCAGTAGTCGTTTTTTTAATGCTCTTATTATCTCGGATAACAATAGGTCAAATATTTTCAATGGCCTCGTAAATCAGACACAATTGCCGTTTAATTACTCGGATTTTCGTTGTTTTCATCCTCAATTGCCTTTTAAAGCACGCTCCGGGAATACATTAAGCCTTCTCCTATTCACTGCAACTCTGTCATAATAGTATTTTCAGCAATAATTAACCGGTTTAAGGCACGACTCCGATGTTCTTCAGCATGTACGTTTCTAACGATTTTCCATTTGTCTTTCACGATTCATAAATAAAAGCCTTGATACGAACAAAATACCTTTGGGATGATACATATAAGTGACTGCCTCGTGGAAGCTATTAACATCGAAGAAAGAAAATCTATTGATTTATTGATTCCTCTTTAAATTCACGATAAATTCATCAATAATTTAAATCTTCCATTAACGTAAATGTTGAAATTTAACGAACGACGAGCAGTCATCTAAATGTTCATAAAAGAAACATTATATTATAAAGCTTGGAATTAATGGATAGAACTATATGGAACAGACTGACATACAAAAAATAAAATAAGAACAAATGTGTTGCTAATTGGAAGCAGGATTTGAATTTGCTTACAGTTTTAGTATCTGGTATTTAGATTAAAGAAATGTTAACTGACAAATTGCTAATCAAAATAAAGATGAAGATAAATCGAAATGAGCTCAGGCGATGGTAATAACTTAAATTAGAAATTGCATTATCAGAGGTGGCCTAGTTTGAGGGTAATGAATGTTTACGAAAAGTGCGCTAGCTCGGGTGGTTGGTCACCGCTGATAACTCGGCTTGCATATAGATTAATAAATTACAAAACGAGGCGCGACGGATCGGAAAATGTTTGAGTTTCACACGTTAAGGAAATTCTGTTTGAAAACCACAAAAGTATATTAGACACATACGCAACAAATATACTAGAAAATACGTGTTGTTGCAAGTGCATCGATTAAAATGCAACGATGCAATTGCGAAAATACGATGGTTCGATTTCTGCTCGAATCATCATTACTTATATAACGAAAAAGAAAAATTAATAATACAGCAAGTAAAGGAATTGCATTGCATTGCATTGCATTTTGTTGCGTCGACAGTATGGGAGAAACCCGAATTGCGTTTTCCTGCCGCAAAGTTAGTGGGAATTATTATGATTATTATCATCATCATCATCATCTATCCTGGTCTAGGTGACAAAATTTTCGGTATAATCGAACGATCAAGACCCGACCATCGTGCCTCATGTTTGGCATAAAATAACATGGTAATTGTCGCGTTGGTAGCGTTACGCATACGCACACGTGCTGTGTGAATTATTCAATGCTGGATGTTCGTAGGTCACCCATAAATAAATAGGTTTTTTAGACAGAGAGAGAGAGGATTTCTAAGCCGTGGACAGCACGGCACTAACGAGAAATCTAAACAACCAGTTTTTCCCATTCGCTGTAGCCTCAGTCCGGCCGACCGCAAACGGGATACGGTGATGATGGAAAAACTAAACAATGCTGTTAATAAGGTGAAAACATGTTGCATATTCATCGCGCGGTAACGACTGCTGGACATGTAGATAGATGATACATATGAAAACGGAATACATATTGGAGTCATTAGATTTGACCAACGGAGATATTCCGTCACACGATGTGCTGATTTGAATGATGAAAGTGAAATTACGCACGCACAGTTCCTCCTCCTCTCTGCTTTCTGCTCTGCCTGCTAAATAACACACTACCTCCGCCTTCTTCGAATGATAATCGATGGTCTCTAATCATTTCAACCCACATAATTTAATATTTTTACTAAATAACGAGGCTGAAAACTTTTGGTATTTGCATTCCTCAAAATGACTGAATTAATCAATGATGACGAATGACGGCGCATTGTTCAACGATATTCGGTGTAATTGAATGCCTCTATTATTTGCAAATTTCTTGGGAAAAATTGCAGTTATTGATGATTTAAATAATTCCATGACTCGTATGTAAAAGCTTTTTATTATTAAGTTTTTTTCATTAATTTATATCTTCCTTTAATTGATGAAATCTAAAGTCTATCAATTGATCAAACGCTGCATTCTGAGTAACGAACTTTAAATTTGATCTATGATTTTGATTGAAGCAATCAATTGAACGGACCCTAATAATTTGTCAATTGGTAAAAGTGTTTTTAGTTAGATATGTTGAATTCGTCAGCATCTAGAAGCTCTGCATCATCTCAAGCAGAGCATCACGGCGAAGGATGAGATAAAATGTAATTACGAGAGAGGCGTCTTATCTGGCCTCAACAAATCCCAATGGCGATTGTTACCCAAGAGGCAGCCGTGTTTACAAAAGAGTAGCGATTAAATATTTGTTTATGTAATATTGGAATAATCTCTAATAGGTATTGTGCAACACGGTGTTCATTATCACCATCGGTCATTCCCTGTTATTATTATTACTACTGCGACATAGTTATGGTTATTTGTGGCGGTGCGATTGTTCGCATATTACCGGAAGCTTCACCTCTGCACATGCACAAAGAGAGAGAGACCTCCCCGAAAGAAAGCATGAATATGTGAAAAAATAACAAAAACAATAACCATAAGGCATTATGGAATAAACAGTATATATATATATGTATGTAACTGAGGCCTTATCGACGAATAAATTTCACATTTTTCAACCTCGATCCAAATAAATCCTCGCACGGTTATTGCACCAGGAATAGAATTCTAGTAGTGCACACATACATGTGCGTACGCTGAAGAGAGTACGAGATATTATTATATTTATTAAACGTTTCCTATGAGAGAGAGCTTGTAAATTGGATTAAATTACCGACGAGCGAGCGAGCGAACCGGGGAAAAAACATTGCTGGAATCGTGTCGAGCTATTAAAGAAGGCGAAAAACAATGTAACAGATAAATTTCTGCTTTTTATTTTTCCTCAAACGAGAATGTACTTGGCCCGTGCGTAAAGTGCGTATGTTAATAAGCACAAAGATCCTCGTTATTAACATCCAGTTCTTTTCGAAATTTAACCCATAAAAGACCGCTTGTCACGCTACTTGAATGTTAACTCCTCCAAAAAGATTATGATCCAAAAACATAATTGTTGATTGTTCAACCGGAATCGCTTAAAATACCGAAGACATAAGTGAACTACATTAACTTGTGTTCAAATTCATTTTACACTTATGTAATTTAAACAAAAACCTTTTTTTTTTGTTGTAAATAAACTTAATTGTTGTTTACATGAAACGATCGCTTCAGCTGATTGATTGACGATTACTGAAAGCAGCAGTATTTTAGCGAAATACTATCGAAACTTAACACCGTATCGCAAAATTGATTTCACCACCCCATTTTCGTATTCCAAGGTCTCTCCGAAATCGGATTCATTTGCATAAATAATCACATGCAAATTGAAACGACGTACACAGAATGTAACGTTGCCAAAAAAAATATATATATATATATATGTGAGATTCGTTATTTATTATTTACATTTGATGTTCAACTAATCGTGCTTGCTGCGGTGCAGAGATCAAGATAACCCCTTGCTTGACACATCATCTGCATCCACTAATTATCTAAAGATTGTCGCAGCGAAAGTAAACAGTCGTTCTACCAAAAATAGTATATCGAAATATTATTTTTTTTTCTTGTAATAAGTGCATTTGCATTATGGTTTAAGAAAAAACAGGATGGTTTTATCATAGCTGTGCTAACCATTCCATTGCCAGAAAACGTGGTGCTAATTGCAAACGTAAAGTGTAGAATGCATCTATTATTAACGAGGACCAGCTTAAAATAGACGCATATTGAAATATGAAAATTTAGAATTTTAGAATGTTTATTGAATGAAGTATTCGGAATTAATTGTAGAATATTAATATTAATAATAATAGTAATATAAAATGTAATTATTTGAACTTGTGAGAGATTAAGTTGAGTTTGTTGTTGATTCAATAGAAATAGTCAAATGTATTCGGCGCTATTACGTTTTAGAATGTTATTTGCATGAAGAGGACATTTTGATGCGAGAATTGTAGCTTTAGAAAGTGTACAAATTGAATGCTCGATGTAGGGAACGATGGATGGAAGGGTGGTGATGAATAGCATGGTTTGAAGGTGAATAGGTGTAATGTGCGTGAATTATTATTTATTGAATTCCCCGACTGTAAAATTCTATCCGTCTAGAATCCGAATTAGATACGGGTGACGCGATTTCCTTTTGGAGAGGGTCCCGGAAGTGTCGTTAATTTTTTTGCAAGACACTTATCGATTCACCGCTGCGTGGAATCCTGCGTGTCGAGGAGCGGGAGACGCGTGTGATTGTGAATCCGTAATGAGTGGTAATTGAGAATCCAATTCTGATTGTTGTCCTGTTTTTTTTTACAGAACGAGAAGACACCAATAAAGCTGCAATCGAATCCGTACTCGTTGTCCCCTTTGAGTCAAAGCAGTCAGCGGCTTCTGAGGTCACCTCATAAGGCGACGAGGAAAATTTCCAGAATTCCTTTTAAGGTGCTGGACGCGCCCGAACTTCAGGACGATTTCTATTTGAATTTGGTGGATTGGTCCGTGCAGAACGTACTTAGTGTGGGATTGGGAAATTGCGTTTACCTTTGGTCAGCCTGCACTAGCCAGGTGACGAGGTTGTGCGACCTCTCTGGAGATAGCAATGCCGTTACCTCGGTGGCATGGAGCGAGCGAGGGCAGATGGTGGCCGTTGGGACGCACCACGGGTACGTGACAGTTTGGGATGTGGCCGCCAACAAGCAAGTTAACAAGTTGCAAGGGCACACGGCAAGGGTGGGTGCCCTCGCATGGAACGGGGACGTGCTCAGTTCGGGGAGCAGAGACAGGATTATTTTGCAAAGGGACACGCGGACGCCTCGTAAGTCTCTATCCTCGCACGATCTGAATTTGTTTAAAACATTGATGTATCTTTTGCAGCGACTGTGATTGAACGACGATTGGGTGGACACAGGCAGGAAGTGTGCGGACTGAAATGGTCGCCGGATAACCAATATTTGGCTTCAGGTGGCAACGACAATAGATTATATGTGTGGAACATGCAGTCTCTGTCACCCGTGCAGACATATACCGATCACCTAGCTGCGGTCAAAGCCATTGCGTGGTCACCTCATCACCACGGTCTTCTTGCCTCCGGCGGTGGAACCGCAGATAGGTGCATTCGTTTTTGGAATACCCTGACCGGACAACCGATGCAATACGTGGATACCGGTACATATTTAATTTACAATTAGAACAAAACTCAATTTCTTCTTACCAACTCTTTTTATCATCTGCTTTTAGGATCACAAGTGTGCAATTTGGCGTGGTCTAAACATAGTTCGGAGCTCGTATCGACTCACGGCTACTCCCAGAACCAGATATTGGTATGGAAGTATCCGAGTTTGACTCAAGTGGCGAAGTTGACGGGGCATTCCTACCGAGTACTCTATCTCGCTTTATCCCCGGACGGAGAAGCTATTGTGACAGGGGCGGGCGATGAGACGTTGCGCTTCTGGAATGTCTTCAGTAAAGCGCGATCGCAGAAGGAGACGCGATCAGTTTTGAGCCTGTACACTGGCATTCGCTAATTAGTGGATATTCTTAATATTAATTAACTTGTAATTATAGGATGCAGAAATCAACATAATTTACTTCCTACTATATTATATATTCTATATATATATTTAGATACTTTATTGTATATTATATATTGATTCTTTTTATATATACACTTGTATATTTACATACATAGTTGCAATTCATCTTTTTTTTATTATATATATATAAATTGTTTTCGTCGTATCGCATCATTATTATATTTATATATATATATATACATATATTTTTTAATTTATTTTTTTACTATAAACTTTTAGTTCACTTTTTTTTCATACATTATGTAAATATATATAAATATATTATTATTTTTATAAGATACGTGTGATATGTGAGAAGAGAAGAGAAGAGTAGAAGACAACCAAAATATATGATGGAAATGCCATGTCGATGATGATGATGATGACGAAGTTTTGATGCATTTTCCTCTTTGTACAAATTAGATTTTTAAGGAATTTATAGGATAATTTATTTATAGCAAAATAATAATGAGGATGAGGATGAAGGAGAGTATGAAGGCAGAACAGATCAGCCGATTTTCCACTCAGAATGAGAGTTGCAATTAGTTTGATTATTGTTTTTGATTTATATAACGAACGAAAAAGAGTGAGAAACTGTAATTAAAAAAAAAATGTGTACGTATGATTATGTAAAGAAAGAATGGTAACGAAGCGCCCAAAATGATTTCGATATCTAAATTATATTATTATTATGATGATGATTATGTTTCGAGCAATCTCTGGTTTTTTCTTTTTTTGGTTTGCAAACTAATAATAAAAGAGATAATTATATATATATAAAGAATGTATTAATTGATTAATAATTCATTTGATCATCTCCGATTTTTCCATGTACTTGACTGTATACAGATCTTTGACTTTCTGCACGTCGCTGGTCCACATCTCCCTCCATCTATTTGAAATCCCTTCAAAGTCCAAATCCTTGCCAAGCTTCTCCAAGCACATCAATTGTTTGTCTTGATAATTCTAAAAATGAATTATGATCATATTATATCATTGTTTATATTTGATTAAGTTAAGATACCTTGATTACTTCCTGAAGATTAATTCCAATACTGTTGCAAGAAACCAAAGAGCTGTGGCTGAGCATCTCTAAGCGGCTCAAAGTCGAGGAATATTTATCCAGGTTCTGTGTAGAAATCTTCAGGCCTCTCTTCATGGCACTTAACTTAAAATTCAGCTCGCTGACTAATGAAATAATCAATTGACAATAGTTGATTTACGAAAGAAAATTAAAATACGCACTGATGTTCGATGTTTCTGTGCAATCCAGGACGTCGTCATTATTGATGATCTCTTTCAAATATATGATGCGATCCTTAATCTGTATCAAATATTCGCTGTCGTTCTGCACGCTCAAACAGAAATTTTCCACGACCATCTGCAGCTTCTCCTCGATGACGGCCACGTCGGCCTCGAAACTGTTCAGATCCTCCTCGAAACCCCTCTGGAAATTTTTGTAATGCTCCAAATTGGTCGACTGCAGCTCGAGAACGTCTGCATCCAACGCATCCATCTCCAGGTGAAGACCATCCAGAAGCTTCCCGTTGGAAGGATGTCCGTGCAACGGTTTTAATTTACCGTGCAACGCGTAATAATTCCTATCCACATTCTCCTTATCGATTTTGATTTCGTCCGCGAAACCGTTGCATCCTGATTTCAGTGCAATCAGGCTGTTCTCCAGAAAGCGAATTATGCTTTCAGAGTAGTAATACTTGATGAATTCGCTCACTTTATCCACCATCAATAGGTAATCTAAAACAAAAAAAATTAAATTTATCTGCTAATGGTTTTCAGAGTAAGTTTATACCTAAAGATACTTCTAGCCAAACTTCTTCGCATTGCAATTGATAGTACAGGTATTTTGCGGCCAATTCGATCAGGAAATCCTTTAATTTTTCGCCATCGCTTCCGTCCGAGAAACGAGCCTTCAAATTAACAAGTCATTGTCATATTGACACTGATTAATTTAAATTGAAAGTTGCAAAGCGTTCAAATTCTCGTGCAGACAAGATGAATCTGACTACGGCAGCGTGCAAAGGCTGGAAGGATTCGGTGGAGAAGGAGGAGAGATTGCGGTTGAAGTGGTTCAACAAGAACGAAGCCCAATTTATAGCATCTACATTGAAGGAAGGCGTGAAGCTGGTGAGCAAGGAGGAGCTGGATAATCTGGTAGAGACTAGGAAGGATTTGTACACGAACGCGGAGCGCCATCCGAGGATCAAAACCGAAGATGTACCGAACACGGACAATCATTCTGTATACCACATTATGAGACCGGTTAAGCCCGAGCATAGCACGCTTCTGTACACCAGTAATTAATTAACTGAATCGAAATGCTACTTGATAAACGCTACGAATGATTTCAGGTTCGAACGTGGGTCGAGTAACTTATTTGGCCGCAAGGATGCACGTGCTTCCTGAAGATAGATATTATTTCCCGGAGACCACAAGCTTTAGGTACGGCTGGAAGATGTGGCCTTGCGCCAAGACGATGCAAGGATCAAAGTTTGGAAAATCCGCTATCATCCGGCAAAGCTTTTACAGGCGAAGAGCTGGCATAGAGCAGGATCCGGATTATTACATACAACCGGCGAAATTAAGTCCGACAGTGTGCAATTGCACTTAACACACCTTGGCCAACGTCCTGAGTCTCAGCATCGAATCGTACAGGATCTTGATAATCATCGACATGTAATCTATATTCTCGTCGGTTGGTCTATCGCCCAGCAGCTTTCCTACGATGTTATCTGCATCAATGAGGACACGCGACAGATTCTCGATCAAATAAAACCGTCCACCATCAGATCGATTCTCTATGAACAAATCCATATTTAATGTGAACGGCTTCACTTGAACGAGAAGACATCTGGTCCTCCTGAAGGCGTTCTCCGTGTACTCGGCGTTCATAGCGAACTCTTCCAAATAGTTCAAATCACCTAAATGTCGCTTCGCTTGAATCTGCAGCTGCTCGTAATATTTCTCGATCAACTTGCAGTTTCGCAGCAGATCGTTGGTTGTTGCTCTAATAGCACTTTGTACATCTTTAATCTCCTGCAAGGCATCTTCGGAAAACTTAAATTCTGCCTCCAATTTAATCAAACTGAAATCATCAAATTTTTGAATTTCACAAACATCTTACAAATACTCAAAAAAAGAATACCTGGTAGTAAGTTTCGTTGATTCCTCTTCCACACTGCCGCAGCTCTTCGTAATTTCCGTATCCATGGTGATCAAAACTTTAGAGACGTCCTTCTCTAATGTCTTCGCGATCCTCGAAAGCTCGGATTTCAGCAATTTTAATTCGCCCGCACTGTAATTTCCACCGTCCACGAATAACCTGAAACGAAAACGATTAGAAAATCTAATTTCTCGCAATTCTCATCAACTTACATTAAATGATTTAAGTATTCAAAAGTCGCGCATTTGATCGAATTGACAATCGGATTCGCTCCGCTCAAATAGTCGTCCTTCAACTGTTTAATGCGCTCCGTTTTCATGGCTTTCACGATCCTCGTCTGAAGGATAAGCCCGGCGACTTGACCTGATGTTTTGGTTTGCTCCATCCGCAATTCTATCTCCGAAAAAGATCGTTTGCAGCTCTCCAGTAAACATTCGAGTTTCGGTATCCGCTTCTGAAACTCTCTCTGAAGAGAATTCGCTTCTTTAACAACACCCTGCGTATTGAAATTGATCAAAATGATGATGAAACGAAATGATTATTAATGATTACTAATTTGTGAGCCTGGTATATTTCCCTGTGAAAACGAAGCTCCGCCAAGCGAACCTTGTAGACGTTGAAGAAAATCCTCTGCGCTTGAATCACCAAATTGTCAATTTTAACGCGAACTTTCCTCGTCAATGTTTGAGTCTGCACTTTGATCCATTTATCGGCGTTCTCGAGCATCAGCACTTTACATTTGTCAATCATCAGCAGCATGGTTTCCTTCAAACTTAATTAAACTTAAATATCGCGATATTTAAAGATGATGGTATTAATAATACCCATAAATCCAATTGTGCAGACTCTTCACTTCGTTTTCGTAGCGCAAAATCAACGGCAATTTCACCTCGTCCATGTTCACTTCAAGTATATTGAGTTGACTCGCTCTTCCTCTCTGCAAGGTGTGATCTACGTCCGAATTGGCGGAAGTCTTGTTCAAACACAGATGCATCTCTACCTCCAAGATCTGTGATTCGCGTTCCGCGTAATCCCTGAACTTCTCGAAGAACTGCAGTTCGTTGTCGTGATTATTTAATATTCTATACAAAAACAATACACAACAATAATTTTGATGAGGCTAATATAGATTTATAACATCACATTGCTTCGATTGCTTTGAACGCTTTCCTTATGGTCATCATGTTCTCGTTCAATTCCCTCTCCGTCGACGCTTGTCTCAATTTATCGATAAAAGTGTTAACTTTGATCATCTCCACCTACGATTGAATTAAATGATATTATGTCAACTGTCTTTTCTTTAAGTGCACTCAACGTCTTCGGATCCGGAATGCGAGTTCAGGAGATGCTTGAAGTCTACGAAGGAAAGCGTTTTAGCCTCGAAGATCCGCTCGAAATGGTTGTCCCATGTGTGCAGAGCGCACTGCGTTATATCCTTGCACAAGTCCAATTCTTCACGGATTTCAGAAAGCAGGCGAACGTAATTATCCTGAAATCCTGCAAGAATTAAACGCGTTTCACCGATTAAGCTAAACCATGCTAACCCTTATCATGATTGCGTAAGTTGTGACAACTTTATCCCTCGGATCTTCGAAGAACGAATCGTAGCACTCTTCGTAGATTTCGGACACGAACAGATTCGGCTGTATCTTCATATTTTCAAACGTGATTTGCTGTATTTCGTCGTAATTACCATTTATAATCTTGTCTATCATCATATACAATCCTTCCTTATTTCTTTGGATGCTGACATCTGCAAATCAAACTAAAAGTAAAGAAATTATATAATTAAGAACGAAAACAACCATATTCGATGAGCTTTTCGGATAATTCCAACGCGTATTTCCGGAGGCTGCACGGCGTTATCTTTAAACCCATTTCATCTAAAATTCCATCTTGGCTGATCTCAATAACAAACTTTTCAAAAGGATCGAAATCGTCTATTGGTAATCCCAACGATGTTAGATGACCACTAAAAATACTCCAGAATACACAATGAAATTTGTTTAATGTTTGAAGACTTTTACATTATAAGTTTTCTTCTGTGCTCCACGTAAATCCTTTTGCATTCTTCCAGCTCGGAAAACCACAGCTTCTGATCGTTTTCCAGTTTCAATAGTAACTGCAGTTTCAGATCCTCGTAGCAACGGTAATTACTCAATGTTATTTGATTGATGTTCTGCAACGAGTTGAGAATTATATTACGATCTATTTATACTTCTACAAAAGCTTACCATTATTTCGTACTCGAAGAACTCTTGGATGTGGTAAGGAAGCATATGGGAAATGTCGTGCATCCTCTCGTAGGCTTTCCGCAAAATACTCTTAAATTTCGACGATCTTCCTTTCTCTAGGTCCAATAAAAACGCATTGTATTCCTCGATTTTACGTTTTCCTTGATTGCAATTGCTCGAAATATCCGCGAAAACGTAAAAAAATACTTCTCTAGGTATAAATATCTTCTACGAACGACAATAAAATACATTAATCAATAAAATGAAATTAATTTGTTTGTTACTACTTCGATTGGATTGTATTTATCCAACAGTTTCCTCGCTGGTTCAATCCTTGCTAAACTTTCTTCAATTTCAATCTCGATATCCTTCAGACATTTCTTAAAGGCCTCCGCTTTATTCCGAATTTGCTCCTCAACTTCACCATTCACGATCTTCATCTCCTCTCGCAACAGTTCCACGCATTTTTCGTGCTCCAATTTTCTTCTGCTGGCAACATTCTCCAAGACAGCTGAAGGCTCTACGTTCGGTTCTGAAAAAAGGAAGAAATATGAATTTTCGTCTTAAACAAAACTATCAGTTTCACCCCAATCGGATGGAAGTGATCTTATTGCTTCTATATCTTCCGCGTTGGTCACATTTCTCACAATCGGTGGCAGTTTCTTAGGATACTTTGTTTGGGATAGTCTTTGCACCTCTGATGGTGTCACTGTTTTGCTATTGCTTTTTATTGAAACTCCCTGCATAGTTGGTTTGTCCTGTTCTATCTTCAAACTATTTAAAAATTCGTACAACGTCAAAATCAATCAATATAGTATTTTTTTTCTTTGTTTATATTCAATACTACGGTAACGCAATTCCTCAAATGTAAAATCACTTAAGGTTACAATCATAATCATTTTCATATTATGAATTTTTCATATTATCTCAAAAATTAACAAAGAAACAATAAAATATTTAGATGCAAAATTTCATTTCGCTTATTTTTAATTTTATAATTATCTTTTAACTTATCATGTTCTTTGAATCTTTTGGATCCATACTATTTATTATAGTTTCTGAGAAAATCACTCAGACATTGCTTCATATTTGAATTCGAATTACAGCTGTGGATAGCAATAATTTAATATACGTTTTATTCCCCAAATATCCAACTTTAAATATTTTTTAAAGTTTGTTGGATGACTAATGGATGATAGTAGAAAACTAACAGTGGAGTCAATCAAAAGGTAAGTTCTTCATTTAGTTTGCAGGTAACTATATAAATTAATTGGATTTGCATCAGGCATTCAGAAATGTTATAGATTTATATGCAAATTTTTGCAATTAAAAATTTCTAAAAAAATTTAACCATATCTCAAGCAGGAGTGCTCCTCCTAAAACAATAACAACTTTAACATAGTTGCAATCTCTCAATCTATCTTTTCTGTAGAGAAACAATCTTTGATGATTGATGGATGTTAACATACTGAACTCAAACATTTATTCAAAGTGCAAAAGTTTGCTATACAACCGCATAGAAGAAGGAAACAAACGAGTTCTGTGTTCTTCATTAAGTTTGCATTATGTACATTGCAGAATAATGACCAAATCTAATAAAAGTATTCGAAATTTACTAGTGCAGTAATCACATCTACGCAACTTAATTCAAATTATAGTTCCTTCAAATTCCGACAGATGGCTCTGCCTGTCTTAATTTAAAACCATATAACTCGAAAATTAATTAGCGTATAGCTTATTAAATTGAAGTAATAATATTATATTCGTTTAATTGTTCTTTTAATATATTTTTGTATATAAATAAGTACGTTTTTAAGGAAGTGGATTTTGTACAGCGCCAAAACGCCTGAACTACAACCTTTGCCATATTGCTAACAGATGGCGCTAGTTACCACAAAAAACGAAATATTCATTTTACGCCTAAAGTGCTGGCAACCAAACATACTTTAAACATTGGTAAACAAGTTGGAAAATAGCGTCATACAAAATGGCATGTATTTTCTTAAAAACCGGCTCCCAGAAGAATGTTAGACATGCATGTTGATCTTGAATATATACAGATCAAAATGAGTGTAAATATAGGTTTGTAGCTGCAATAGCGTCTTCATAATTAGTTAACAAACTTTGGCGTTTCACTAATGATAGATGGGAAAATAACGTTTTCGTAAATGACCTGTATTTTCGTATACACAAGCTCCCAGAAGAATTTTATAC